AAAACGCGCTGATTTTGCCTTTGCGCGCATGGGATGCCAAGATTTGCAAGGGTGTCAGGGTGAGTAGGCTGCGTTCCGACGCACGAAACTTGGCTCATGGATAGATCATTGTATGCTTTCTATGATAAAATACTTTTGATAAAATTATTTTTGAGTGTTTGGGAATAAATAAATTAAAACGCGCTGATTTTGCCTTTGCGCGCATGAGACGCCAGTCTTTGCAAGGGTGTCAGAGTGTACAGGGTGCGTTCCGACGCACGAAACTTTGCTCACGGGTTGATAATTGTATGCTTTCTATGATGAAATAATTTTGATAAAATTTTTTTTGGGTGTTTTGGAAAAAATAAATTAAATCGAGCTGATTATGCCTTTGCGCGCATGGGATGCCAAGATTTGCAAGGGTGTCAGGGTGAGTAGGGTGCGTTCCGACGCACGAAACTTCGCTCACGGATAGATAATTGTATGCTTTCTATGATGAAATAATTTTGATAAAATTTTTTTTGGGTGTTTTGGAAAAAATAAATTAAATCGAGCTGATTTCACCTTTGCGCGCATGAGACGCCATGCTTTGCAAGGGTGTCAGAGTGTACAGGGTGCGTTCCGACGCACGAAACTTCGCTCACGGATAGATAATTGTATGCTTTCTATGATGAAATAATTTTGATAAAATTATTTTTGGGTGTTTTGGAAAAATCAAATTAAAACGCGCTGATTTTGCCTTTGCGCGCATGGGATGCCAAGATTTGCAAGGGTGTCAGGGTGAGTAGGGTGCGTTCCGACGCACGAAACTTCGCTCACGGATAGATAATTGTATGCTTTCTATGATGAAATAATTTTGATAAAATTATTTTTGGGTGTTTTGGAAAAATCAAATTAAAACGCGCTGATTTTGCCTTTGCGCGCATGGGATGCCAAGATTTGCAAGGATGTCAGGGTGAGTAGGGTGCGTTCCGACGCACGAAACTTCGCTCACGGATAGATAATTGTATGCTTTCTATGATGAAATAATTTTGATAAAATTATTTTTGGGTGTTTTGGAAAAATCAAATTAAAACGCGCTGATTTTGCCTTTGCGCGCATGAGACGCCATGCTTTGCAAGGGTGTCAGAGTGTACAGGGTGCGTTCCGACGCACGAAACTTCGCTCACGGATAGATAATTGTATGCTTTCTATGATGAAATAATTTTGATAAAATTATTTTTGGGTGTTTTGGAAAAATCAAATTAAAACGCGCTGATTTTGCCTTTGCGCGCATGAGACGCCAGTCTTTGCAAGGGTGTCAGAGTGTACAGGGTGCGTTCCGACGCACGAAACTTCGCTCACGGGTTGATAATTGTATGCTTTCTATGATGAAATAATTTTGATAAAATTTTTTTTGGGTGTTTTGGAAAAAATAAATTAAAACGCGCTGATTTTGCCTTTGCGCGCATGGGATGCCAAGATTTGCAAGGGTGTCAGGGTGAGTAGGGTGCGTTCCGACGCACGAAACTTCGCTCACGGATAGATAATTGTATGCTTTCTATGATGAAATAATTTTGATAAAATTTTTTTTGGGTGTTTTGGAAAAAATAAATTAAATCGAGCTGATTTCACCTTTGCGCGCATGAGACGCCATGCTTTGCAAGGGTGTCAGAGTGTACAGGGTGCGTTCCGACGCACGAAACATCGCTCACGGATAGATAATTGTATGCTTTCTATGATGAAATAATTTTGATAAAATTATTTTTGGGTGTTTTGGAAAAATCAAATTAAAACGCGCTGATTTTGCCTTTGCGCGCATGAGACGCCAGTCTTTGCAAGGGTGTCAGAGTGTACAGGGTGCGTTCCGACGCACGAAACTTCGCTCACGGGTAGATAATTGTATGCTTTCTATGATGAAATAATTTTGATAAAATTATTTTTGGGTGTTTTGGAAAAATCAAATTAAAACGCGCTGATTTTGCCTTTGCGCGCATGGGATGCCAAGATTTGCAAGGGTGTCAGGGTGAGTAGGGTGCGTTCCGACGCACGAAACTTCGCTCACGGATAGATAATTGTATGCTTTCTATGATGAAATAATTTTGATAAAATTTTTTTTGGGTGTTTTGGAAAAATCAAATTAAAACGCGCTGATTTTGCCTTTGCGCGCATGAGACGCCAGTCTTTGCAAGGGTGTCAGAGTGTACAGGGTGCGTTCCGACGCACGAAACTTCGCTCACGGGTAGATAATTGTATGCTTTCTATGATGAAATAATTTTGATAAAATTATTTTTGGGTGTTTTGGAAAAATCAAATTAAAACGCGCTGATTTTGCCTTTGCGCGCATGGGATGCCAAGATTTGCAAGGGTGTCAGGGTGAGTAGGCTGCGTTCCGACGCACGAAACTTGGCTCATGGATAGATCATTGTATGCTTTCTATGATAAAATACTTTTGATAAAATTATTTTTGAGTGTTTGGGAATAAATAAATTAAAACGCGCTGATTTTGCCTTTGCGCGCATGAGACGCCAGTCTTTGCAAGGGTGTCAGAGTGTACAGGGTGCGTTCCGACGCACGAAACTTTGCTCACGGGTTGATAATTGTATGCTTTCTATGATGAAATAATTTTGATAAAATTTTTTTTGGGTGTTTTGGAAAAAATAAATTAAATCGAGCTGATTATGCCTTTGCGCGCATGGGATGCCAAGATTTGCAAGGGTGTCAGGGTGAGTAGGGTGCGTTCCGACGCACGAAACTTGGCTCATGGATAGATCATTGTATGCTTTCTATGATAAAATACTTTTGATAAAATTATTTTTGGGTGTTTTGGAAAAATCAAATTAAAACGCGCTGATTTTGCCTTTGCGCGCATGGGATGCCAAGATTTGCAAGGGTGTCAGGGTGAGTAGGGTGCGTTCCGACGCACGAAACTTCGCTCACGGATAGATAATTGTATGCTTTCTATGATGAAATAATTTTGATAAAATTTTTTTTGGGTGTTTTGGAAAAAATAAATTAAATCGAGCTGATTTCACCTTTGCGCGCATGAGACGCCATGCTTTGCAAGGGTGTCAGAGTGTACAGGATGCGTTCCGACGCACGAAACTTCGCTCACGGATAGATAATTGTATGCTTTCTATGATAAAATACTTTTGATAAAATTATTTTTGGGTGTTTGAGAATAAATAAATTAAAACGCGCTATTTTGTTGCCTTTGCGGGCATGGGATACCATGCTTTGCAAGGGTGTCAGAGTGTACAGGGTGCGTTCCGACCCACGAAACTTGGCTCATGGATAGATAATTGTATGCTTTCTATGATAAAAACTTTTGATAAAATTATTTTTGGGTGTTTGGGAATAAATAAATTAAAACGCGCTGATTATGCCTTTGCGCGCATGGGATGCCAAGATTTGCAAGGGTGTCAGGGTGAGTAGGGTGCGTTCCGACCCCGGAAACTTTTTACGCATGTAGGGAGTATTATTCTCTTCTTCTTAAAATTCTTTTAAGCGCTGAATTTTGTGGTGTTTTTTAATACACAAATTTATAGAAGCCAGCTTCGCCTTTGCTCGTGTGTAAACTGTCTTAAGGGTGGTTTTTAGGCGTTGGGAATCGAATAAACTACTGACTATAGTATTTTATATTGTTAGTTTGATATTTATAGCAATATATGAAGTCAAATCCTCATATTTAAATTTTCGATTTTTTCGTTCACGATGAACGTTGCAAACTTCACAATCATCTAATCTACACGTATCAATTGCGATATCGCATTGTTATAATACATTAATTCTAATGAGATATGAACGACATGATTGCGTAAAGAGAATGCTGTTTTTTGTCATTTAATTTCAGAAAATAAAATACTTTCAAGACTTCAATTTTAATTGGAACGTTTAGATAGAAGTGAATTACTTCAGCGAACGTTGATGCTGACTGACAGCTTCTCCAAGTAACTGGCAATCGAAATTCTCGACAAGTTTGTCCAATAAGTTGCGCGCAATAGTAATCTGACTGCAAATGTGCATAATGCAAAGGATGGTGATACTGTAGACGCCACAGCTTATCGTATACTTGACAAAACCACAGATGCAATGGAGAGCAAAGACAAAATCATAGATTGGCCTCACCTGCGGTTTTCAAATAACAAGATAATAGTAAATAAATAAAATAAGAGAATAATGTGTAAACGCTGTGGAAATTGTGCGGTAAGTTATATTTTAGTTATCTGATTCACTTGTCCGTGCGTTTTAAAGTTCGTTACCGAGGATGACAGTTTTAAAGATGCTGTATCCAATAGATTTACGAAATGCATACTCCGAACACCAAGTGTGTAAGATAACATCTGGAGCCGTGCTAAATTGGCGACAAGGTATTTAAATGGGAGCAACACAATGGCGCGTGTAATTTTACACACTTAGGTTTTGCTGTGAACGATAGATATACATTTTTTATTAAAAAAATAGTTGACTGAACAATTTCATTGCCCTCGAACCATGAATCGCACGACAAATGAGTGAACTTTTAAGAATAAACAAGCGAGTGATGTTCTGTATTTCAAAGTTATTTGAAATTTCACACAGTCCGAGTGTACAATTTGTGTGGATCATGCGTTTTGAAAGAAATTCGCAAAGTACAAGTTGTGATTCCTTCATTTACATTTATCGTCAAACCTAATTGATATTTTCTACTTCGATGATTACTGTGCTACCGATTTAATTTTTTTCTTTGACGAAAGTAGACAATAAAGAACATTTCAAAACTGCACGGCGAAAATATCAACTGTTTCTGTTACGAAAATCGTCATTTATTTTCAAACAAATGCTAATTATAGAGAAAAGATTATCCATCAATTTGCATATCTTTGAATTAGACACAGGAAGGTCTGAAGTCTTTACGTGCGCGCATTGTTCAAAAAAATGCATTTCATTCACAAACGAATCATCGTAAATTCGTGACATTTGCGAATCATACGCGACAAACGTGCGACGTATGATGCTTTTGGTTTGTACCTGCAAGTCAACGATAAAAATCACTTTGTTACCTGCGGATCGAAAAGCACAAAGTAGCTGGGATACGGGAGCGGTCTGAGGCTCTCATTGACAAGTAGAGTAGATCGCTCGAAGAGAGGTAGCACGGCCACGCAAGGCATACCGCCACCGTACACGAAAATCACGCATGCAACGACGAGCAGTCGGCCAGTTTTCGCGTTGCTCGTCATGATTTTATACTCGGCGGCGTCTCGCAACGCCCGCCAGTCAAGCGACATGCTGCAGATGCATTCGGCCATCGTGCCCTCTTTGTAAATCATCACCGCGTATTTACACAAGCTCATCAGTCCGAAGCTCAGAGAGCCGATCAACTTTAAGCGTATCTGTAAACACGACGAGCATTGTACCTTGGCTTTTTCTTATTTTTTAACTTATCGATTATTTATTATTAGCTTCGTACTTTCAAGTCCTTCGCGACCAAGATCACGAACAGACACAATGGAATCGTCACGAAGAGCATGGCGAAGAGGCATAACGCGAGCGCGACGGGTCGCACCAACTTTCGATAAACCTTGGATTTCGTGGGCCAAAGGCCCAACGGCGACAGCAGTAGGCGCGTGGATCGCATCGCCCAATCGATATCTTTCTCGAATTTCATGGGATCCATAAACGAGCGATCGCGCGCGCGCGCGCGCGAATGGACTTCGCGAGACTACACACAATGGCACAGGTGAATTCCTGCTAAGGTTTTTATCGATCGAGGTCAATTTACTCGAGACTCAGGCCAGTCATGAAAGCAATCGTGCGAAGAGACGATGAAACCTCTGTCAGCATGACATTATCAATAATGTCGCAAGTAGTATAGCGTCGGATTATTTCGCGTCGCGTGGGTAGTCCGCGAAACGTTCGATTAGGCAGTCGCGAGCCGACTAAACCCTCCCCGTCGAAAGGTATTCGCAACTTTATTACGTATGCAAAGTGGGTAGATAGACTTGCTAGCCACTGCGAAATTCGTATCGGGGAAAAACTAAACTCTCGCTGAATCTACGATCGAGCCGCGGTAAGGGGAGAACTACGCTCGCAGTTTTACTCTAACTTGTCGAGTTGAATGTCAGGTTGAAATTGAAGCTGCGCTGCACTTTTGAACGTTTATTTATTCCAACTTTTTCATTTTCGATCGTTTCCTTTAAGTGGCGTGAATTCGTGAATTCGTCATAAATTCATTGTTTTCGGTAAAGAAAGCAGCAAAAAAAAGTCAAATCTCGTCATTGGAGAATTCCTGCTGGTGAAAGTGTTTCACGAAATAGTACAGAAAGATCCTACATCAGTTTGAAATTGACGTGCTATTAAAATCTACTTCGCTAAAGCCTTTTCTATTCAAACACCAACTTCGCGCTGAAAACATTGGAAATTTATTGGCTAGCGTTTTCTTTCTCTCACTCGCTCTCTGTCTTTCACTCTTTCAATATCCTTTGACAGAGGGTTAAGGTAGATAAGATCCAGCTCCTTTAAAAATCCAAGTGAAATCTTCTCGTTCCCATGCATAAATTATTCCAAAGAGAAGAGTGCATTGTCTACGAGCATAATAACTCAAATGGCTGTTTAAGTACGACGGACAGATAAACCTAGCCTTCCAGAAGTGGGGAATCCCGATGAGGTCTGCTAGGGTCCATAAGAATAACGAAGCCCGCGTTGTCTGCCAACAAAGCCATTGTTAAATAGGGAAACGAGCAGCTCCGCGCAAAACTGTGAAGTTCCGTTTGGTTTGCTTAGCGTCTCCGTCGCAGCTATAAGAATGCCGAGCTAATACCGCTTGTGCTCAACGTCGAGTGCCCTGTTTGCCGAGGAGCAAAACGAGGACCGGTGGCCATTAACGGGAACGGGCCTAAATTGTCTCTCGACAAGCGGATCAGTGGAAGTCCAATCGATCTTTATTGCGGCTGTTCCTGGGCTAAGCTTTGGCGTGACAACAGCATAACTAATTTGGACGCACGTGCTTTTAAGAACGCAGTACTAATTTACTCTAAACTCTCCCTCGTACAGATTCCACGATAGATAAATAATTTAAATCAATAACCTAATAACTAACAAATACATATTCACGATTTATATTCCTATATTATATGTATGTTATAAATTTTCGATTATGCGTAGAGAAAAAAGTTCAGGGTCGTAAGCAAAGGAAAACTACGGTAAACGATAAGTGGTTGAAAACTTCAGCGTTTTGAAGCATTCCGTGTGAACTAAACATTTACAATAAAACAAAGTGTTTAAATAGGGGGAATTTTTACAAATATCTTGCGGTAGACATGGGTGCTCGACTTAAATTGAAGCTTCCCGTAAATCACGTTATAATAAACACCAAATACGTTGTTTACGTAAAATTAAAACCGTGTGAATTTATGGGTTTAAAAGTTTATGTTTGTAGGTATACGATATGTAGTGCTTATTTGAATTCGGCCTGATTTGACGTTCGAAATGTGTAAATGGATACGAAATAGTTATGACAATATTAATCATCGAAATATCAGTTATCATTTTTTAATATACAATGACTATTCAAAACCGGTACGAAAATAACAGACATAAATTTCCATAGCAATATCAAACATTCATTTTATCGATTTTTTACTAGTGAATCAAGTTTACTATAATAACGTTTAACAAACTTTTAATCGTTTCCGAAAGAAAAACACAATAACTTTCTTTTCTCTTCGAAAGTAGCATTTTTCAACAATCCTTGCAGAAAGCAGGTACTTTTCGCACGCTCGGCCAAAAACGTGCGTTCAAAATAGTACATTCCACAAGGAGTGTTAAAATAGTACATTGCGATACATTTGCGGGAAAAAAAATTCTCGTCTCGTGTATCTATCCGCCCTCGCTTCGCTCGGAGGTAAATACCACACATGACGAAAATCTACTTTCCTGCACTTGTATCGTAATATACTATATTCACGCATTAGTTAGGCTATGTATTATTTTCAGAATGGTATAGAGCCTACCGTAACGGGCACAATGCTAATATATGGCATTGCAGCACCTGCACGGTAAAATCATGCTGATAATTATCAAAGTTTTTCTGATTCTCGCTTTTTCTGTTATAGCTCGCACTTTTGGCAATTGTCACCGGTGTTTCGCCAATCATCCGTTATCATGTGCAATAACATTTGGCAACTTTGCCTCTCCACCCTGTGATCATTATGTACTTAAAGGCGATCATAATGCTAAAGCTGAACGAGACAACCAGCTTGATACTTTTCGAAGCTCACGACTAAAGGCGCAAGAGAACAAGATTTTACCTTCATATCTATCAAGGCGACAAATTGTGTAAATACTGGAGAATCATTACGAGTAGTATTAGAAAAGTGCGGAAAGTCATCAAGCATTTATAATTTTCGGAAACATCTAGGGGCCCAAGGCCAAAAGGTAAGAGCAGCGTTTTAGTGAAGCGCATCGTAATCTTGAAATCTTCACTATTTTCAACATCTGTATTCTTTTCTTTCTAAGTCATTCCAACGGATAATAATTTTCGACAGATTTACAAAACTTGATAAGATTCTTAGATAACATACTTGACAATTTAGCAGCGAGGTTTTCTGGAATTTAATTTTTTTTCTGGAAAGTAACTCGTGTTTTGTGCCGTCTCGACTAGTATCGAGTTCAGAACATTAAGATTGGCGATTTTCAAGCTATTAAGCGAAACTGCCGTAAGATTGCATCGTCCCGCGTTGAATTTATGATAGGCAGTAGCCTTTCTTTCCGAGATGCGCCGGTGCATGATCTATGGTAGCCACCGTTTGACGTTTTCGTCATCTACAAGTGACAAGAATAAGTTTTATTGTCGCGGGAGTCGAACGGATCATAAATACGTAAATTATCGCACAAAAGCGGCGACAGACGCAATGGAGAATGATGTTACTGTATAGCTGCTGCAGGTTTCTGTATATATTTCATCAAATCAAGTATTCAGAGTAAAATAATTACGTATCACATGCTTCTATATCATTATATTTTACTGAAACGCATTAAAAATCATGAATGAAAATAAAAATGTTTAATTATTAAGTTAGTAGTAATAATTATTAGACGTATATTATGTCAAGCTACAAGTTCAACCTGTCAGAAATAGTAGCTAAAAATATGAAGCGTCATTGACTGATAAATTACCTTATTGTTTTTTTGAGCCAGACTTTGTAATGACTCGATCTATCTATTCTTAAAATCATAAATAATATTACGGAAAGGTAATATAATGAGAAGGAAACACACAAATATTGTAAAATATGTTTTTTAATAATTTTTTTGCATGTATAGTCGAAATAACAGATTTTGATATTTTCTTATGTTCAAAATATATTCTACAAGATGAGTAGTTAGCTGATTTTTATAAAAGTTATTTTCTCGTGATCGCATTTGTTGGCTTAATTTACAGTATTGACCCAATTTTCGTTTTCTCTCGAAATTCTATCTCTTTCAAAGTATTCAATTTCAATTACCAATGTTAATGGTAGTTTTACATCATGCAATCCTTTAATTTATCAATGTAAATTTCTATCAATCAATAAATAATTTATTAAAATTGATTTCTTTTCTTCTAAAACTTCACCGTTTATTTTAGGTTTTTAGGCAATGCCAACGATCATATATTTCAAGCTGATTCAACATTTTTACAAAAATTAAATGCTCAGATATCATCGGCATATTAATATAATTCCTTAAAAATGTAAAAACGTTATCTGGTTCATTTATCCAGTATTTAGACTTTTCAAATAATGAACAGTATAATAACATATCATCTCTAATCGTTTTGTATAAATCAACTGTGTTCAACTTCGACACATTAACATGATCAGGTAGCGAGGAACCTCCACCAAATACCACCATTTTTATACATTTCTTATTTATTTGGTCATTGCGATAATATGTCAGTCGTCTTTGGTCTATTCTACTCACAAAGCTTATTACGCCGAATGCCAAAGTTATAATTTTTCTTTCCAAAGTAAAAATTATATTTGAGTCAATCGTACATTCATTTCAGTCTTTACCACGACATTACTTCATGAAGGCAAACGTGAAAGTATCTTTTATCATGTACATATGAAAACGTTAACGTGAATATATTCATCTTATTTATAATAACAGAATTGCACTTGATTTTCTAAAACGCACAATACACATTCACGAGCATAAAGACACGCATATATATATATATACATACATACATACATACATATATATATATACATATACATACACACAACTATCATGTATTAAAACTATCTTATGAGGTAAACGTGGTTTGCCTTCAGCATCTATGGAACCTTGTTCATATTATTTAATGAACATATGAACTATACAATTAAAACATCATGTTGATTACGTTGATCAAAACGAAATGCCTATCAACAAATTCCACCAATTTTCAGAGATTCTTCAAATTCTCAACTTTCTCTAAATCACTGTAATATTAATTCAGTAATTATTAATACCATTTTACTGCCAAAGCATGTTCATATAAGAAATGCAGACGGAACGCGAGATACTAAATCTAGATTTTTAAAATATTTACTCTATAACAATAGTCTGTGGCCGTTGTGGCCTATTTCCGATCTTCTGTTTCCTGTGACAATTTGATTGTTTGTTATTAGTATTGTTTAATTCGCTGCACTCGGCTAATTTCCTTTTTTTTGATCGAGTTACAGGTCCCTGACTAGTAAAACTTTCATTACTATTGCTGTGAGTGACCTGAGTCTCCAAGTGTTTCTCTACGCGTTTGGAGTCAATTTTTTTTTTCTCAAAATCGCTCTGTAGACTGTCTAAAAATATATATTTAAATTAATATTACAAAATCTATATTAGACAGGCTATTCTTCTGGCGTGTTATTGATAGACTTACAACTCTGACTAGAAGAATCAAAGGATGCAGGCGGTTTTAGTTGAAGGCATGTATCGGATGTCGGAGCAACTAAAGTTGAAGAAGAAGAACTGGAGGAAGAATGTTTTGCCATTTTACGACGTTGTGCGAGCGTTGCCTCGTCAGCTTCTCTGATAGAGGAGCTGCATTTACGTTTTTGACTAAAATAAATAAAATGAATAATAAAAACTTTTGAAATGATGATTTCTTGAATTATCGTCTTAAGTACGCTTACCTTTGACCGCCAACCAATACAGTCTTGAGTTGGGGAACAGAGCTGTCGTCAGTGTTAAGCCACGGATGATTCACTAACGAAATGGCAGAAAGTCGATCTGTCGGTTCTAGAGTTAACAAGCCCTTGAGCACTTCCCTTCCTAAAGCTGAGATAGTATTTCGAACATATGGTTCGTTAAAACTAATATCACCAGATTTGATTTTGCATACAAGATCAGCACTACCATTCTGGTATGGTAGCCTACCCGCTATAAGCGTATGCATAATTGCGCCAAGACTCCACATGTCGCAACTTTGGCTATAGTGTTGCTTTGCAAGTACTTCGGGAGCTGCGTAAGGCAAAGTAAATCCTGGTACTTGAGATTGTCCCAGTGAGTGTTCCGTTCTAGCGAAGCCGAAATCTACGATTTTGATAGGTGCGTCACATCTCGAATTAAGAAACACGATATTTTCGGGTTTCAAATCACGGTGAACAATTCCATGCAGATGTATAAACTGTACGGCGGAAGCAAGTTGACGCATTATGCACTTTATCTGATATTCTGAGAAAGCTCTTGGTTTGATGCGGGCTGCAAGCTCTCCTCCTGTAAGTAGTTCCATAACTATGTAAGTATGTTTCCTATCTTCGAACACTTCGATCAATTTCACGATGTTGGGATGGCCTTGGCAATATCTAAGAAGTGCTATTTCGGACTTGCAATCAACTCGTCGTTTGACTATTTTAACAGCATACTCCTTACGCGTCGCACGATGATAGCAACGATGGCAAACCGAAAAGCTACCATCGCCGAGGAAGCTAGTTCTATGGTGGATGTCATACTGTTTGAAGAAAGGTGATTCATCTGTACTATCTGGATGAGCGGATGAATGTGCATCGTCACTTGGTAGCATCGACGGTGAAAAGTAAGAGTAGCCCTGAAAATTGAGAAATTCTGATAAGAATTCAATCCTAAGTACCAAACATTATATTTCGATCGATTTGTTTCTCAATGTACCGGAAATAACTTTTCGCAATTTGGTGGCGCCATAGTTGGGACATCTGTGGGTAGCTGTTTGGTAAACTCATCTGCAAAGTTACTTGTATCTAATTCGTGGGCAATTCGGGGCTTCAATGGAGGTGGTATCTCGCGTTTTGCTAGAGCCTCCCATGAAAAAGGGGGTGGTGCTTTAGTAAAAAATGAATGATTTTTCAGTTCAGCAGCATCTTCAGGACCACCACCCAGGCGTTCACGTGGATTTTTAACCAATAAACGACAGATAAAATCTGTTCCTTCAGGGGTTAGATTTTTAGGCTCTGGTGGATCTTTGGTAAGGATTCTACGCGAAATATCCTGTTGAGAGTTTTTTTCACCATCCACGGTAAAAGGTGAAGCACCGGTTAAAAGTTCATATGACATTACGCCTAAACTCCACCAATCAGCTGCCTAAAAATGGAAAATAGTAGGTTATAAATTTAGTCCTCTTCTTCTTTAAATAAAATGGTTTCAAACATTTATCTCTAAAAATTTCAATTTTTATTTTTGCCAACTTCAAATAGGATAAGTTTCGACATATTTTTTCTGAATTTTTTTTTGCGCATGTTAGCGCATGTCCCTGGGATGGTACACGCGATTTGAACTCGGAGTGGACTCATTTAAAAGCTTGTTTCTAGAATGATCTTCATTCATTATTGATGTTATTGACGTGTAGCTTTGTAAACAATTGTAAAATATTTTGAAGTTGGCTTTCTTTGAAGCAATTAATCTCAAGTAATCTTGTAAACTTACTAGACCATGGCCATCAGCGTTATTACTAATTATCTCTGGTGCCATATATTCGATTGTTCCACAAAAAGAGTAAGCTCTTGGCCTAACATTTTTTTCATCTGGTTTTAATGATTTGCTCAGACCAAAGTCTGTTAAAACTATGTGACCCTCGTGATCAAGTAGAATATTTTCAAGTTTGATGTCTCTATAAACTACATGCAACTAAAAACAAATATAATAACAGATGTAAATTGGATGATCAAATTCTGTTAGCTTAGATTTGTGAGTTTGATTGAATTGCGTATGCTTACAGAATGAAGTTTCTCAAGTGCCAAGATAACTTCACCGATATAGATTCGACCTTCTGTCTCCGAGAAATGGTCCCGTTGGTAAACATGCGTAAATAATTCGCCCCCGCTAACGTAATCTATGAGTGAAAGTATGAAAATGTCATTGTTTTAATCATATTTTAACCGAAATCGTTCAAGCTCAATAGTAACTTTATGCGGATTAAACTTTTCAATCATTTTCAATTTTCGCAAATGTAATTTACCTAAAATAAGATGAAGTTTACTCTCGGTCTGAAAAGCGTAGTGAAGAGACACTAGGTAAGGGCTGCCTCGAATTGCTTCCAAAACCTCCCTTTCCGTCTTCGTGTGCTCGGCCATCTTTCTCTTTTGCAATAGTAATGATTTTCTTAGCAGTTTTAGTGCGTAAAGACGACCGACATCTATACCCGTTTTTTTTCGTACAAGGAACACTTTTCCATAAGCTGCAAGATTTATAATGAATTATGAATAAATTTTATGTACCGTGTTGACAAACATTTCGTCATTTCGATATTTTTCTTACAGTACATTATCAACATTTAAAATAGACGAATGTAGCTAAAAATAATTTTAGATATCACGATTTTTCAGGTAATCAAAAGATAATAAATTATAGAGTTCATGTCAAACAATTTCAAATAATTCCCGCGATTATTACTTAGATTCCATTTGGAATACCTAACTGCGCGCGCATTTTGAATAATGCCAAAAAGCTTCTTTACTTGTAGGAGGCTATCGTCGTACTCTATTGTATTTAAATGATGTTACTATCTTAAACTCTTTACAGATTATACAATTCAGACGCAGACAGACATTTAAACCAAGTCTTACCTCCAGTTCCCAAAACTTTCAGCAAATTAAAATCTGACAAATCCACTTGACGACGTATTCTGTTATTAATGATATCTGAATTAACTGAAATAAATATATATTATTGTGACTTATTTCAACATTAAATTAATATTGTTCAATAAAGGATGCTTAGCAAGAATAAAGAACAAAGTTACTGGAAAATGTCTTTGATCCCTCATAGATGATATTATAGCTTCTAATTTTATTTCATATTGATCTTGAAGTTTTCTCGAAAAATATTTTAATGTCATTTACAAATAACTATATAAACGAAACCGGCAAGATAAATAATCATTTGATTAATTTCAAATTATCGTTATTAATATTTTTATTTTAGAGTCGTTTGTAGAGTTCGAAATCTTTATTAAACCGTGACGATAAGATTAATTTATTTATTTCACGGATTAACAAAAATAAAAATAACACATTTTTCTGACTAGTACTACGCGTGTGCTTTACCATATTCATTCGTATTCGAAAAAAGGTTAGCAATACAGCGTGATCTCGGGCTAAGTATCATGAAGACCATCCTGTAGCAACTCATTTGAAAGCTGATTTCATAAGCTTTCAAACAATCCATCACACTTTAAAAGCACACATACGTAACCACAGGCAGACGTCATAAAAATAGCCTTATCGTCTGCTCGTGATTTCTAATGAGAAAAGTATATAAAGAAAAACTTTTTCTCGGTAATATGCAAAAGGCTCAGATTTTGTAAGAAATCCAAAATTGAAACGTAGTGACGAAAACAAAGCAACTGTAGCGACAAATGAAAAATTTACAATCAAAGCAAAAACAAAGCATCGTTTTCAAGGAAGCAAGAGTCCGTTGGTTATTATGGGATTTGTTAAATTTGTCGGAGGTAATATATTACCGCCTTAAATCTGCCTCGGATGAGCAACTGCAAATTCGACTGAACCCATCAAAACAGGTAGCTAAGGGATGAAAATAAAGTATGCTCGCGGTGCCCGAAAAATTTCACCACGCCGCAGGGGATCGCCGGCTATTATCCGTTCCTACTTTTATATTCTTCCATAGTTATTTTGAGTAATATTAGTGTTGATTCTTATGGAGATAAGTTCATGGGATTGAACGGAAAATGAATTTTGAAAATAAATAAGTACTTTTTAGGATAAATAATATAATCAACGTTAATAACTTTTTGAACATTATTGAATAGTTATTTTTGCAACAATATTTTTATGAGTATTACGACAAGCTAATGTCAATTTCATTAAAATTTATTTTATTTTATTTTCATTAAACATTTTTAATTGCGGTCACTTTTAACCTGCTCATTATAATGACCTAAAATATATACTAACATTTCATCACCATACGAACGATATTTTTATTTACACGGAGTTTCCGGAAAATCGGTCACCTACACTGGTAGAGCTGATCGTAATGGCCTGGAACGGGCCTAACAACTAACACGATGGTTTGCGTGGCTACTGATGCTTTCGTATAAAATGTCTACGCAATGTTTATTAACAAGATGGCATAAACTGTTATGTTCGTGCTATCCGTCGCGTACGCGAGAATAAAAGTAGGTCACCTGCACATGCTCTTGCTTTACCTTGACACAGATCCAGCCAGCGCAGACGACTGACTGTCAGGGCCGGGAGTGCGCATGTTATTGATTATGTTTTAATGTTTCTTATGATAACAATTTTTCTTTCTTTCGATTAAATTTACCTATTGTCTACTACTAAATCGAATCTCCCGAAAATTCTTTGGCTATTCTTCGCCTTTTGTTCGAGAAATATTTATTTTTGAATCAAAAGGTGGAAAAACTATTGTCTACAAAGTACCGTTCTTTGTTTCGCTAAAACACTTCAAGTCTTTTTCACCTAACATTTCCATTTTATTCAAAAAACAATTAATAGTATTGAAGTATTTGGTCGGATACAAAACTCAGCCAAGGTTTGGTAAGTTTTATGCTTAATTTTGTTGAACAGGATAGTACCTCGATTAATGTAATTTAATTTTTCACGGTTGTACACTCTTGCCAAGGAAATTTCTTTTCTAATCCAATAACATAAATCTGAAAATGGAAAACCATTCGAAAAAATTTTACCATCTAAAACAATGAGGTAATTAAAGAAATCCCAATATGACATAGAAAACTGAATATTATACTTATGAAATGTTTTAAGAATCATTTGAAATGCCTTTATCTAAAAAGATGAAAAATGATGTAAGATTACTACTTAATGGTTAGAATTTATAACCAGATTCTAATGAAGTAATGAATAATTATAAAAATTGCTTGAAACAAAATGTTGAAATATTCTGTCAGTAGCGGGAAATGTAAGATTTATACGTAATTTCAAAATGTTACATGTGGTATTATGCTGACTATTTGCTCACTCAAAATAACCTACATATCCCAATCTGGATAAAAAAAAATATCGCTATTAAAAAAGAGTAAAATAATTTGAATTGCATCTTTATCCACCGTACCTCGCGGAAGTTCCGTTTTTGTCTGACCTACATAATCGGCATTCACTCGCTATTTCGTAACGGGATCAACTTTCTTTCTCACCATGCGCGCGACAGCTTCAGCGCAACAGTAGCTTATTATTTACAGTAGTCGCGAATATTACATCGGCAGATCAAAGTCAAGCGCGTTTTTTCATGAATGATCAATGAATCTACTTTTCTTATTAATAGTTTGCAATTCCATCTAAGAAAAAAGTTCTTTACGATAAAACAAAGTTTCGTCAGAAAAACTGCCGTAGTTTGTTTGTTTTCGTAACTGTTTCGTATGATTTCGTTGCATTTTTATCTTGACCAATTAATGTTGGGCTGTTATTGTTACAATAGCTAATCAATATTAGAACAGAAATTTCGAAAACGATGCAACTTTGTTGCAACGATATACACGGGTTTTACAATTGACAGCGAATTGTCATAGCTAAGTTTTTGCAAGTTTCGTAACTGTATGTAAGAAATTAAATGTATTATTTTCACTTTCTAGACTCATATAACCTTCGTACCTTATTATTCATGAAATAATCAATATTTACAAAGTAGTTTGGTCATTTTTAGTTATCTGTTGTATAGCTAAATTTTATATAAAAATGATGCTTTTACATTACATTATTGAATGCTTGACTGTAGCTACTGGTTTTGTGACTTGAAAGCAAATACTTCAGGTAGAGATATTTTTAATTTTATAAATACATTATCAATGGAAAATTAAAAATTCCAACTTATACGAGAAAATTTAATAAAATTCTGATTTTATATTTATTTTAGGTAAGTTTTCTACACTTAGTCTATATACTTTCACTATTAGAAAGTTGTTAGTAAAAGTGGAATGCGTCAACATTTTAGTAATCTTTAACTATTTTATCAGCAAAATTGGATTATTTTACATCGTTCTTTTTTACAAAGATATATTTAGAAAAACTTCATTACTATGTCAGTCAAATGTTTAAATATTTAATACTCGATTGGTGCGCGTTTCAAAACGTGGAGTGACAAAAGTATTATTTAAAAATTGAAAAGAGATATAAAAGTTTTAGTTTCAGGTGGCAAAAACAACATATTTCAACTATTAAATACTAAAATTGTTGTTGCAATTTTATAGCTTTATAATTTATCGAAACTTTCTAGAATTCAAATAATAAATTAACAGTATAAACGTAAAGCGTAGAAAACATAACCTGGAATTCCACGGAATGCTTACGTTATGTTTTTTCAATATGAAAAAGAGCTTATTCATTCATAGAGCTAATTAAAATCTAACACAAAAGGAAACTTATAAACGAATGAAACTTCTAGTTATTTCATTGTCAATGCGATATATTTCATTTAATGTTAAAACATCGATTATTGAACAATGTTCCGTTTCGTATTGTGACACACATTAGTAGATAAATAAATTTGAATATTTTTTAAATATTTGCCTTTGATATATGATAAAAATCTTAAGTAACCATATGGATTGGCAAATTATTTAATGATTGATAAATATAGATCTAGGATAAATTACTGTTTCTAAAATTTGAACATAAACATGATATTTAATAAAAACAACTTACCTTTTTGGAGTACAGGTTCATCAGTATTGTCTACCTGTTCTGCGTCAGGTGACATAGGGGAATCCCTAACCTCAAGTTCATTAATGGCCTTGACTAAGCCAAGTTTCGATGAAGACGACCTAGATACAAATCCTTCGCTAGAGGTGTTAGATGGTTTGGAAGTATCTCTTGTGCGCCTTAAACTGTCCAGACTGTCACCTTCACAATATCCGCTTTCGATAGTCACGCAGTTCTGTACCCGTACCCTGGTGTTTATATTTGTATTGTTCATTGTGTCGTTATTTGATTGCACCAAAGTCATGATTTTAAAAGTTTCTTCGCTCCCTTATCTCATTACGTAAGAGGAGAGTTTCTTTTCAATTTGGAAAGTTAACGTGAAGTATCGACTGTAGACATCAAGCCATGTCATAATTTGCGATGTATTGTTTTTCGATCATCATTCATATCGAATCAAGCAGCTGTCGTGAGTTCATGATGAGGAGAACTGAAGTGATTTCATGGCGCTGCTCTAGTATGTTTCGAAAGTTATGACAAAAATACGATGATTCTTGAAGTACGTACATACACTCGACATTGCACTCGTGGCGTACTTGTATCCTCGAAAGTACGATAATGATGTTATCCACAAGTATTTTTCATAGCATGACACGAACTTGATCGAAATCCAGTCGCAAAACTTGTTTGACGTTGAAAAGCGTTGTTTTTACATTGAAATAACGCAGCAATTAATAGCGAAAGAAAAACGTTAGGCTATTTTACCAAGGCCATATGCTTCGTGAACGACACAGGCAAGCAGACACAAGCTCGAACAAACACGAGTAGCACTACCGAGCAGCACTATCCTACTGACACATTTGTTGTGCACGCGCGCCGTTTTTCGTTTTCCCCACTCCCCCGAAGAATTACGGCGGCAGAAACGACGGCGCTCGTAAGTAGTGGGGCTGCCGAGGCTGGAGTGGGGGAAGCGCTGAGTATAGTACGTCAGAAGTTAGAGCGACACAGAATGAGAGAATGAAAGAGAAAGAGATGTATACTATAGAGAGTGCCTGTTGCTCAGTCCAGGCCTGGCTCAGTCCCGACCTTCGAACATTCGTTCAAGTAGTGTATAGTCAATGCTATACGTAATTTTGTAAAAAATACGACAAATTCGAGATTATTTTTAAGGACATTTTTTTGTATTCACTCGTCGAGCGAAAAGAGAAGTCATTTCTGCAAACAATCAGTTTGTAGGAGGATATTAAGTAAAGCCGATAAATTATCCTTGCATTTACATTTTAATGTATAAAAAATAAAATCTGTACGAGAGTATTAATAATCTGCATCTTGTTACAATCACCAAAATGATCACCAAAATGGTGATTTATTTCTAAACAGAGTTTTTCTACAATACAATTTTTAAATGTTTTACGCCCAGTACGCTCATGTTTTGATTAATTAATCATAATGATCGATGTTTTGCAAGACTGATCACTTATTGACTTAAACGATAACAGAAATATGGCACCAAAAGACAAGGTTTTTCAGTAATCTCGAAAATCGATTGATTAAAATTCTACGGAGGTCATCATTGTTTATATTTTAGTTCAACAGTTTTTATTTCATTTGAGCTATCAGAAATCAATAGAAAATCCTAGTTCTTTACCTAATCTAAGTATATTGTAGTAAAATGGAACATGACTGTCTTTTCGCTTGGAATTACATTCGCTGAACTAGCAAGTACGTAACAGAATGCCTGTCATTGTGTATTAAGTTTGTTTGATTGCGCAATTTCAGATTTTCGCGAACAATAAAATGCCAATTTTCATTTACCTACCACTCCGATGATTCCGGGAATCGTGTCAATCTCCGGCTTATCATTGTGGCCGCATCAAAATATACTATCGCGACATATTATGTCGAAGACGTGGAAAAACATCATCTAGAGATGACTCGCGCGTGAAACGAAGATAAGAGAAAAGTCGTCCTACAAAACTATAAAAAATCTCAGTTAAGCGTTAGAGCTCCATGCGGTAAGAAGATTGCACATTCCTTTTACGTTTATTCAGATATATCAAAGCTAACACTGGAAAATATAATTTAAAACATACTTAAGCGTCATACAAAATTATTTTGGTCAATTGATGTGTGCAAAAGTTATCAAAAATATCTATAAAAATTAATAGCTTATGTCAGAGTGATTAATTTAACTTTTCTCTATAGCCAAATTGACCTTCCTGCGGGATAACTTAACAAAGTATGTGGTAATTTTTCATTAAATTACGAACATATTTACAAGATTTTCCAACTTGCTTGAAAAATTCGAATAGTATGTAAATAATTGCTATCTATCGCATGCGTGCTTTTTTGATAAAAGTATATACGATCTTATAAAAATTAAGAAAAATCGACTGCAATAATTCACATAACCAGTTTCGATGTTTCCACTGGTCTAATATAAATATTCGTCAACTATCTTAAAATGTGTAATATAGAAAGCGACACGTTTTTTATTTACCGGTAAAAATGAATTTACATTACTTTTTTACGATGTCATCTGGAATGCAGCTTTTTTTTACATGACATAAACGAATAAACATCAATCAAAACAAAAACACAACCAATTACCACTACGATAAGTTGCATAGCAATAAATAAATTGTAATTTGTTCAACAGTCAAGGTTTTTGTTAGGTCGATTTCTTTTAGTGGGCTATAATGGAATACAGAGATTTTTTCATACAACACGCTCCACCTTTTAAATTCTTTGCCAATTATGGTCATTACGTATTAACAACTTTAATACTTGTCATCTTGATTAATTTGTTGTGGGACTCATGGCGAAAGAAAGAATCAGACAATGCCAACAAGCGAATTGTCGCTAACGGCAACGAGAATTACTCGTCGAACGAATTGAAACCCGACGAAGGCAAGTCTTCATACTAAGTTGCATCATTATGTAACTTGCGGTCTTTTTGAAAAATAGCTTAATCATATTAAACGACTAGAGTTAGTTTACCGTGCTTTACTAATGTAGCAATAACGTCACTATTTTTAACAACACCTAAAATAAGAAAAGCGAATAATAGTATATCTTGTTTCAAGCAGACTTTGATAAATATCGAGAATTATCGGAAGATGACGGGGACAAACCGTACCTGCCGGCCGATCTGGAACATGTCGCATTTACATACACGCGTCCATCTGAAATGGAAATGTGTCGAAAATCCCATGAGTTTTACGAGATCGTCAATGCTCGGCGTACAATACGCTTCTTTAGTAGCGACCCAGTCTCGAAAGAGGTTATTCGAAATATCATAAAAGCTGCTGGTAAGTTACATCACTAAAATTCGTGTTATATCCCTTGTAAGTTTGTTTCTATATTCCCTATTTATCATCTTTCAACCATTTTTGTTAACCGAATTTACACAATAGTGATTCTAATATTCAAATATTCACGAGTACTTTCTCAAGTTATACTCATTTAGGTAAATTTCGTTGACACGAACGAGATTAACTTTGACTTAGATTTACATATAATGGTTTGTCATATGTGTGGATTGACATCGTTACGACACGAATTTCGTATTAATTTTATCATCTTATATTTATATCTGCGAAAGTGTATGATCAGAAAAATTATAAAATACATAATTGTTAGGTACATCGCCAAGTGGAGCACACACAGAGCCATGGACATTCGTAGTTGTTTCTAATCCAACAATAAAACAAGAGATTCGTGAAATTGTAGAGCACGAAGAAGAAATCAACTATACGAAACGTATGGGTAAGAAGTGGACGAGCGATTTGAAACCCTTGAGAACCGACTGGCACAAAGAATATTTAACAGATGCACCTTACCTGATTCTTGTATTTAAGCAAGATTACGGATACCTTCTCAATGGAAAACGTAAAGTACACTACTATAAAGAAATGAGCGTTGCTATTGCCTGTGGCATCCTCATTACTGCAATTCAGGTATGTCGAACGCTAGTGGTTTGTATTATGTGTATTTTCATTTACTCAATTGAAGATATTTTTTATAAATAGTATGCTGGCCTGGTAACATTGACATCAACACCGTTAAATTGCGGGCCAGCTTTACGAATCTTATTGTCTCGACCTGCGAACGAGAAGCTTGTTTTACTACTTCCCGTTGGCTACCCAGACAAAAATGCAACAGTTCCAGATCTTCATAGAAAAGATCTTGATGATATTCTTGTCGAATTTGAATGAAAACTTCACAAACTACGTCGTTACGCTTGCAACTTAAAAATATTTTGATTCTATAAATTCAGGTGTCAAGTAACTATTTTGTTATTAGTTTCTTAAACTTTTATTTATTTCATTTTACATACAAAAATCTTAATATTAAACATATAAATTACATCAAGCGACATCAGTGAAACATAAGGTATAAAAATCAACGGCAATTCATCCATCAGACGACACATTACATACTTTGCTTGTACTATCATAATCGTGCAATTATTCATGTCTTCTCATTTACAAATCTTTATTACATTTAACTACGTTGAATTCAGACAGTACTTTTATGTACTTTACTTTACGACTGCAATGTACAGCTCGTTAGTTTCATGATTTTAAAAATATTATAATTATCATATCCGTGGGCTTTTTATAATATTATACAATTCATTATTCAGGGCATCAAATCGCACAATGGAAAAACAAGCAAAGATTATTCAATAAAAAAGTTCAAGAATATGGACATCAGTAAACGGGCATACGTAAAATCTTAATTATTTTGAATTGTTGAAATAACAATGGCGTAGCGTTTCAACAATCTTTACTTCCACAATGTAAAATAAAAATTATAAAGTATTACAGTATAGTAAATATAAAAATAGTAAAAATTTTTTTAAGTACATACATATACTCAACTTTTTTTTAATTTTTAAGACAAAAAAAAAGCATGGGCGCATTTAATTACTATAAATGAAACATTTTGTATATCTGTTTATTGCAATCTTAAGACATCTGCAGTTTTTAAAATTATGTTGGTACGCAAAATGATGCTTCCAAGTATCACAAAAGTATATAATGTGTAAAAAATTAATTATGTACGCAACATACGAATTAGCGACATACACAATAATCTGATCTCAAGCAAAATGATTAAAATTTTCTTAATCAGTGTCTATGAATTCATGATTTGTTATGACTTTAACTATGGCCTTTTCTAGATTTACTGGTAAAATTTGTACAAATGTCACTTCTTGACGTAGCAATAATGTTCGTTTGCATATTATTCTGTCGTTTTTCTTTGAAATTTAACATCTCAGATAATTAATTAAGAAACTTACATTTTTCTGGTTATAAACGCGAAACCATTTTATTAGCGAATAATAACTCGATTTTCACATTAAAATGTTTATACTACTCTTGTGTTCCATCCGTAAACTATTAGCAGATAATGTAATTTCATGAATCATTAAGATAAAATAACAAGTTCTTTTTAATATTCAAATTATTTTATCAGTACATTTTTAAACCAATTTGAGTCAATTTTTTATAAACAATTATATGAATGAATTATGGACTTCACGAGTAAATTGTTATTTAAACTTATGCACCTGCATAATGAATAGATCATTATCTGAAAAACCAAAACAAATAAGAAGAAATTTGAATCAATGATTCTTGATATAATAGAATACTCGGATTATGTCAAAATTTGTTTAATAAATGATTTAACTTTTCTAAAAAATCCAAACACGAATTCTACATATTAGTATTTTTTTATTATTATATAATATTTCATCGATTTATTTGATATGCAATACTAAATTGAAACAAGAACTATGGTTAGATAAATAACAAATACTGTCAATCTCGATCAAATACGTCTGCATAACTCAGTTAATATTTAAATAAATTATTCAATTTAATTAAATAAATGTGACAGATATGGGTAAAGTACAAATTGACTATAATAAATATATTTATAGATGAGATTGAATTTTAATTTGAGTTACTCATTTTGATCGAATTCGTGGTTTAATTAGGTATTCCACTCTTCTAAGTCTAAGAATATCTTATACTATCTATAGAAACACATCTTAAAATATAGAAAAAATATTTATACTCTATGTATACATTATTATATAATTATTAAAAGAAATGGAGGTCATAAGATTGCCAACTGCACAATGATAAATTTATGATATTTTTTTCAACTAGTACATACTGATGGTTACAACAGACTTTAGAAGGTACACGGCCGAGCATACCGTTAGCAATTCCCTCTCTAATCTCTGATGACATATTTATTAAATAAAAATATATATGTAATAGCAGATTATATAATTGTTAAAGACTAGTAGAAGAAGTGTCAGATTTCGTTTTTATCTATTTTTTTGAAATAGGAAGAGTCAACAAAGACAGCTGCCTTATAACAACGAAATTCTGTTTATAGAGTTTTGAAGCCTATTTGTATATTATTTTTTAATAAGACAAAGTGACATTAATAAAAAATGTTAGTCAAATAACAATCACGTCTGAAAGTGACCAGTTTCTCTTAGATATAACATCTTGTGGCCATAGATAAAATCTATATATTTTAATTGGTAGTTCAAGTATTTCATGAAATCATTACTGCGTATCTCAGTTATTTAATTAATACTCTATTTATGAAACTTATGATAAATTTGGCAACGTTAGTGTATGCATGATATATGAAGAAATAATGTATTTACAATGAAATATTGATAAGTTTAAAAAATTAAAATTATAAGTAATACAACAAAACTGTGATGAGACTTGAGCTGAGCCATTAAAGTAAAGCTAAACTTATTCGTTGATATAACGGCGAGAGTTGAGGTATCGTCAGCACGCAAATTTAAAGTTAACAGTAGTTTTCAAGGGATAAAAACATTTCAATTGTGCAGTACAACTTTGTAACATTTTTTTATATTTTTTAACTTTAGCAGACTATTATTAGTAATGTAAAACTATTGAAAGCATTACGAAATTCGAGTGGGATTATTTTATTTAAATTAGTTTAAAAATAAACGCATGTTTAGCTATGAATTTTGGAAAATAGTAAATTGTTTTCATTTTCTGCTGATAATTATAACAAAGATGAATTTATTAAATGAATATATTAATAACACGTTAAAAATCATTTTCGTTATTTCATTATACTCATGTCTATAACTTTCTGACATTATTTGTTTTCGTTGTTTAGATTTGAATGTACTCTTGCATTAATAAATATAATTTTTGTTGGCAAGATGTTAAGACCACCTAACAAAAAAAAAGTTAGGAGATTTTTAAACACATTTATTTTAACGCACACGTATAGCATTCACTGTCAACTTTTTTAGCAGTTAATTCGTTATTTTTACGTAATAACAGGTTTTCTTTTCAATGGCGCTGGTGAAATTCAGCTATGCAAAGACGACAAGACCAGGATCCTTCAGGAGGTGAAGTTAGTGGTGGGGCAAGACAATACATGTGGTAACCTCGATCACAGTCGTCGCAGAATAATAGCTGGTCCTGATCAAAGGATTGAAATAAAATAATCCATATATTAAAATAAGTCTAGAAAATATCAATGAAGACTTGGAAAATAAAATTATTTGAAATAATAAGTTTGTCTACATTTATAGTTCATTCAGTAAATAGAAATAGTTGAGCAGATAGAAATAAAAAAATTGAAAGATGTAATATCTAATAGAAGAATAGAAACGTAATAACATGTTCAGTAAGAATACTCGCTCTTATAAAATAATCCTGTATTTTGTTAAATGTGTGCAAATAAAAAGTTTGAACTATTTTAACGACGAAGGTTTATAGTCCTACCGAGAAAAGAATTGTACAAAATTTTCTAAAGATTTGTTATATCATACAAACTACGTTTACTTGAAGTATCATAGAATTAGTAGTGAATGTATCAAGAGATTAATAAATTTTACTTTAATCTAAGTTTAGTTAACGAAATAGATTTTACTAAACAAAACCGTTGTTTAAACAAAATAGTTCACTTACATCATTGTCGGAGGTTCCACAAATAGAGCAGCATTTACATTCGATGCATTGCCACCTGTACTTTCGCACAGATACTATCATGTTTGCAGTAAATTGTAAACACGTGGGATGTCCTAAAAAATGTTACGAGAGTTTATGTCAGTGTAAGGAAAGGATTAGGAGATTAGAGAAGTAAGGCGCTCAGGACATTTATCTTGTGCCGAAGAATAGTGAACTCTATGCTATTTACTAATGTGTGGTTTATAAGTTTATTATAAATTTATCAAGTGTGTTTAAACTACATTTATGGTAGTATAACCTAAAGAGGTACTTTTGTAAATGTTTAAAATTTATATTAAACAAAATTAAAGTTATTACGCTTGTTAAACTTTCACCTTTCCTCAGCACTAAACGTCCAAAAAAAATACAACAAGCTATCTTTGAATTCTTCAACTGACAAATATTTTATTTCCTTCAGTTGTTTTCAATTTATTTTCAACTTTTTATACTACGAGCATTTATTAATTAAATTTAATAATAGCATTTCATTCAATAGTTGAATGTAACAAGGCGTACCTTGAAATTAGTTCACTTGATTTCTTACGTAGCACAATATAAATATCGTATTCAGCACACTATCATTCTCTATTCATTTTAAATTTACATAATCTGGATACAGAAAGTTACCGCAAAAAGGCCTTATTACCCATTGAACACACTCGTACAAACAAACTTTCAAATATATGACAACATGAGCTTATGAGAAAAAACAATAAAAAAAAATCTCTATGCCATAGGGGTTACAATAGTATAAGTATACATTTTCTCTTAGTGCAACCGAATCTGAAGTCAGAACTCAGGAACTCAAGTTACTTTTAAGCACTTCAGTCTACGTTTAATATCGGAAAATATATTCCGATTTTCCGTATCTTTGCAGTTGGAAAATTGTACGATTTAGAATCAATTCTGACTTTTGATTTCTAGCCTTTTTTACATCTAATTTACACGATAAACTGACTTTTATCATGGCATTATTGTTTGATTACAATATTTTGAACAGTTGCATTCACAGAATTTGATCCTGACAAATTGTCTGTTACCTAGAATTAAAAAACGATGATATTTCGAACAAAACTGTAATATAAATGGCTCACCGATCATCGATTTTATGAATTCAATTTTGTCAAGGAAACATTATCTACACAAATATTATACAACAATTTTGAAAAACGAATAGATATTTTCCTATAGATATAAGATATAACGCAATTGCAAGTTTTTTTAACGAAAGTTAGCTTAGGTATGGCAAGCAACGCCTTAGTCTTCTTGAAATGCGTAATCGCATATTTATATCACAAGTTGTTTTTTTAAATCTAATTTTGCAACGTATAAAAAACTCATCGAACCACAACAACATGTACGTTCCGAAAAAGAGCTATTGCATTTGAAAAAGTAAAGTCTGCATCGTTGCATCATCAATCGCGATAAGGATCGTAGCTCCAGATATGACAATCGTGGTGGCAGCTAGATTCCGTTCCCTTTTGTGAATGGACTTCGCGAGAGGATTGGCGCGGATTTTCCGCGAACAGCGGAAACGCGAGTCGCCTGGACGTCGGGGGCGCATTACATAGGCGCTGGACAGAGGCGGCTGGAAAACCGAGACGGGGACGCAAAGGACAGAAGGGGCAGACGACTCGGCGGTTAGACAGAGTTGGCAAGAGCGTTGGCTTTGTTATGGCGGTAGCCGTAGTGGCGCGCCGGCGGGCCGTCGGCTGGACGCTGCCGCGGGCGCTGCTTACCTGATCGTCCGCAGTCGCTGCAGGAGACGAGCTCCTCGGAGCCGCCGGTCTTCTTGTTTTCGCGCGCGTCACCGAGGCAAAAGTCGCAGTAGGGCGAGGGGTTGACGGTCTTGTTCTTCTTGCCGTCCATGCCGCCGGCGTGGTGCTGGTTGCCGAGGTGGTGCTGCGTGGGCGGCGGCTGCTGCTGCTGGATCTGCAACTGCGGCTGCTGGTGCTGGTGCTGGTGCGGGTGCTGCTGCTGCTGCTGCTGCTGCGGGTCGAGCGGCGGCTTGGGGCCGGCCTGCGCGGCGGCGGCGAGGAGAGAGTCGGCGAGCAGGAGCTCGTCTTTGGGAGGAGGCGGCGCCGCGGCAGAAGGCAGGCCCGGGCCCAGGCTGGCGCTGTTGCTGCCGAGAGCTGAGACAGTAGGTGAGGCTGGAGCGGCGCAGCTCGGCTCGGCCGGCAGCTTCTGTTGCTGGGGGGCCTGCGGCTGCGGGGGTGGCGGCGGGGCCGGCGCGGGCTGCTGGTGCTGCGCCGGCGGCCCGGCCGGTGGCGGGCCGACGCCCGCGGCGCAGTGGCTGCCGGCGTCGCCGCCGTTGCCGGCGCCGGCGCCGGCAAGAGCGGCGCTCTGCGCGCAGCCACCGGCGCCGCTGCTGCCGCCGCCGCCGCCGCTTGAGCTCGAGCCGCCACCGGGTATAGAGGGGGCAGCCGCTGCCGAGGGGCTCGAGGTGCTCGAGGAGGCAGTGCTCTGGCGACCCCGGCGCGTACCACCTGATACACACATAAACCGACCACATACCCACAAGTTGCGCTTAGATACCAACGCCCGCGTCTCTCTTTGCAAATCTCTCTCTCTCTCTTTCTCTCTCTTTCTCTCTCTCGCTTTTACGTTACTTTGCAATTCTCTCTCTCTCTCTCTCTCTCTCTCTCTCTCTCTCGCTTTCTTTCGCTTTCTCTCTCTCTCTCTCTCTCTCTCTCTCTCTCTCTCTCTCTCTCTCTCTCTCTTTGGCAAGCTCTTTACTTCTAAACATCCTCAACGCTAAGCGGAACACCAGGCACACGCAGCAACGAAAACCAAGATGTGCGCTTATGCTCGCCACTGTTAACGCTACTTTTGCATGCACTCATGTTTTATGGGCATTTTTCTCTTCCTCGCGTTTTCTCTATGCAATTTCGACTCGATCGTCCGTGCAATTCACGTCGATTCGAAACTTCACGAAATTTGGCTTCTTTTCTCATCGAACACTCGCAAGATCTTTTTCGTTGCGTGTTTCTAAAAACAGTGACATGCTTCGACCGTCCATCCGACGTCTAAAACCCTTTTTTTTATTTACTGCCTCGTAAGATCGATCACCCCACTAGATTTATTTATAGTTTACCGATTCTCGCTCTTACTATCAAATTTACTGTACAAGTGACACGAGGGTCTGTCAAGAATCAGTAGAAAAATGAAGTTTAATCATCTCCAGTATACGTTTCATTGTACTCAACTTCTCTGTTCCGACTTTTAAATTGTTTTCCTTTTTTTGTCAAGATTTCGAAACTATATAATTTCGAAAAAAAATCAATAAAATATCCGTAGACGTCACACGCACATAGAAATGCTATTATTGGGATTCGAAATGTACAATTTTTCCATAATTTTTGTATTAAACTTTGAATGTCGAACATCGTTCGAATAACTGTATTATGTAGAGGTCAGTAAATTTATAAAACAAATACTTGTAAATAATGTGAATATAAGTACACAAATGCAGTACTTCAAAAACTAAAAATATTGCATATTTACCGTGATGTTGGTGAAACCAAAATAATTTTAACAATACTCCATACGTTGATTGATAAAAAAATTGAAACAATCTTGCGAAGGTTGCTCTATATATATATATATATATATATATATATTTGCATATACGTGAGGAAAAGAGAAATACTTATGAAAATTTGAAATTATGATAAATAAGATGCTACAGTGATGATTCCAGCACCAAATATTTTTCTACATACGTTAAAAATACTAGATTTTCATGCCTTTACTGACTTTTTTAATAATTCAATCAAATAACAAGAATTTACATTGTAAAATTAATAGTATTTTCATAACAACACACGGGAAAAGAGAAACATATTTGAATACTTTTCTAAAGCATGCACGTTTGGTAATATAATCCAGCACCAAAAAAATCTAAACTCTTGGTTGAAAACATCTTACAAAACACATACACAGACACACAAGCATAATTCAAAATAGAAATCTCAAACTTCTCTATAGTCTGTATTTGCTATACTTTGCATCAAAATATATAATGACTAGTTTGATAATTGAAAAAATATATATGAATGCATAACATTTGGTAGGTTTAGTTTGCTTTGCTCAAGCAAACAATTTTCTTTAGAATCGATCGATTGAAAGCAAAATACATCATGCACGGATTGAATGTGAATCAAGACTTTTTTGTAATAAAAGTATACACTCACACATCAAACACTCGCAGAGTTAATAATAATGAACGTGTAAATTTTGTTAGACAACTGAGATAACGAACGAGGATCGAGTGGCTGATTTTAAATTATTTTATAAATTGTTCATAAAACGTGAATCAGGTGCGAACAAATACAAATTCACCATGCTATTGCAAACTGTGTTAGGTGTGTGCTAGAATTCTTTCTCCTAAATTATATTATTACAACGCAATCAAAAATATATATAAACTGAAAAATATGGTATAACAATTGTCTCGGGTCATCAATAGCTCCTTTATTTGTAACCGTAAGGGTAATGTAGAACTCGTATTTAAGAACATTACAATTATTTCGTGTTTTTGAAAGACGAAGTGACGTTTAAAAAATCAATTCACAATAAAATGCTCGATCACCTTAGAGGTCTTATATTTTGAAGAAGTAATAACGCTGGATGTAGACACGAGTACCTGAATTACTGTCAAATAATGATTTATCAACTTTTGTGAAATGTCTTTTGAAAACAGGGAAAGCTTGACTCTGATTCGCCAAGATTAGTAATAATTTTGCTGTACAATCCAAGTTGGCATGTCAATAAATTATAATATGAACGACTTGGAATAAAGATTTAATTAATTAAAAATAGCACTTGCTTGAACAACGAAGCATCGTGTTGAAAATGGCAATCTATATCAATTTGCGTTATAATAATAACAATACCGTGGAAATGCGACCAACATCAGTTTCGCATAAAAAAATGTTCTACCTGGAACTGAACCGATGGCAGAAATCACATGAAAAATAATTAACACGGTTTGCAATACAGATGCTGATTCTAAAATAAATATATAAGTGTGTGTGTGTGTGTGTGTGTGTGGGTGTGTACATGTTCTGCGTACGTTTGTATGTGTATGTCATGTAATGATTCTGTGATAATGTAAAAATGGGTTGTCTAAACAAAGAGCGCGTGAGTAGATATAAATTCACGTCGAACATATCGAAATCAACGTGACAACAAATTGAGAAAAGGTTTATACGGAGATGCGATATAAAATGCAAGTGAATATAAGGAGTAAGTAATTATTGACAATGAAAAAAGTGAAGAATTATTAAGAATGAATAAAGTGATAACAAAGAAAAATAACGAGAATATATTCATAGATGGAGCGTTCTGCTTTCAAGAAAGAAAAAACTGAGCTTATTTCTTTTTGTAGCTCCAACCTGCTTGGTCCGAAGCAACTGCGTCTGCTACGCTCCGAGATTCAACATCGGCGGGACTGGGACTTAGTTCCTTAGCAGGATCGCCGGAGGAAGTAGAGTGGGAATGACCGTAATGGTAGACCAGACCAGGTCTGGTTTTATACCGTGCGCTGCATACTGCAAAAGTGCAAAGTACTTGTTTTCCCGCAAACCACCTAGTTCTAATTTTTTTTTTCTATTTTGCCAACAATCTATTCATTTCTCTTGTTTATTTCTCTTTTTTCTATTTGAGAGGTATCTGTTATTTTACCCCACTTTCCACAAGAAAACAACACAAAATAGATCTATAGGAAAATATTGGAGTTCTATGAGATATGTTTGATTACTAGGAAATAAAGAAATACAAGTTACTGTAAGAGACTTCAAAGTATTACTATAAATTACTAAAACCAAACAATCTACTTTTCTAAACCTGTTAGTACGTATATCTTTTCCATCTAATGGTGAAAGAGTTTGTCAAAGAGTAGTAAGAGCTCTGAAAGTCTCTTACATTTATAAAGGTATTGGATTTCTTTGGAAAGCACTTGCACACCGTCCGCACTAAAACACATCCCTAGCCATCTATCAGTCTATGTGTTTAACAAGCAGTGAAAGGGTTTTCCAGCCCAAAAGCAAAACTAATAATATAATGCAAGGCTATTACACCTACATTAAAATTTGCTCGCTACAAAGGTGAGCCAAGTAAATAACAATCTTGCTTTCTGCAAATTATCTATGAGGTTATTGTGTGTATCAAACGTTTCCAGAGGTATCTCATATTTATTTGTAACGCTCAATTTCTATTAGTAGGTTAGGTTGAATCAAATCATCAGAAGAATAGTATAATACTTATCTATGAAATACCTTTGGTTTCTATTTCTAACTTTGGGCAAGAGCGTTATGAGTAAATTTATAACAGGCACATTCGAAATAATCTTAAAAATAAGTATATATACGTGTATATATGAAAATATATATACGAGTATATATGTATTTTTGACTTTCTTTTAAAATCGACTATTTCTAATGATTATTTATCTACTTCAATAACTGGCATGATCAAGTACGGTTTGTCACAAATATTTTCAAGCAGACTAAGCTTGAATGGAAATTTTCCTCTTATAATGAAGAAAAAAGCTTCTTGTGGCTAACATTTTGAGTTAAGTAATAAAAATTGTAACTATAGAAACAACTCATATATTTTTAATATTTTGAAATTGTTTTAGACATATTAGATAAATAATATCGTGAACAAAGTAGTAGTATATATTATTCAATTTACTTGCGTCGCCTTTTACTTTAAAACTATTCTATACAATCCACAACAGTATTTTATAACTCTTTTGTGCATTTTCTATTCTTTTTCATTATTTTTTTGTTTCTTAAAATTTTCAAATTTAATATTCTAAACAAAGCAAAAATTATATAATTTATATATTACTTTTAACAAAATAAAATCCTTTGACACAGTGTTTGCAGCTTGGTTGCATTCGTTTAAATGTACGGAGCAGTAATAATAATTGTTGAAAAATAAGAGGAAGTTGTCATTTGTAGTTGTATCTATGGTTAAACTTACGGTCACAAACGAACGGCTTATCTGAATCACTGGCATCATAGTTGATTTTTTTTCGACCCCGACCTCCACCCTTAACAATTAATATAATAATTAATTTAATCATGTTTCAAATAATATTTATTTTTTACAATAAGTTAATAATTTTACTTTTGTTCTTTTTCCTGCTGGACTTTCACTAGCTGGTGGATGACTTCTAACTGGATGATGGCCACCTCCTCTTGGTTTTCTTCTTTTCCGTTTACTGCTATAACTTTCTTCATAATCAAAATCGCTATCTTGATCAGGTTCTTCATATGGATCTATATCTAACATATCTGATTCATCATAGAACCACGCATCTTTGCTGTGCTCATCTGAAAATGATAAACAGCATTTGTATCAATGTATGCTTTTAATATAATTTGCCTATTTCTAAAATCATACCATGATTGATCAAATTAATACCTTTCAAACCTAAAGAATCTTTACTATCGTCATTAATTCCAGGTCCATTGTTTTCAACACATTCAATGCCATCTTCATAGTCACCTCTTGCAATCATGCGTTTTGGATGAAGATAGTTCATTAAGTATTGTCTTCTTTTTTTTCGCCATCTTTTGCTTGGATATGTGTAAATTTGGCCATGTTGTAAACCTGGAAGACGCTCTCTTGGAGACATGAACAAGGCTGAATGGTTTTGTGCAACTCCTACAACATGAACAAATTAAATATGATACAAAGCTTCTTTCGTGTATTAATTCAATTATATAAATATTTTTAGGTACATATTAAAATATTTTGAAATCAATAAATTACTTAAGTACAGTTTTATGACGAAGAACATATGTGAGTACAAACAGTGCAATAATAATTATTTATTGAAAAAATTAATGTTGATACAAAATGGTGATAGAATTCATTAGCAGTGTAACTTTTTTTAATCTACAGTAAATGAATAAAATTTATGTGCATTATTTTTTCTCCGTATCATATCACTGTAGACACAATATTGATGGTCTAATTTGTGACTCCGATTTTTTTCGAAATATATGAAAACATACGACCTGCTAAACTTGAACGAAAAACAATAACATTGTAAAACTACTTACCCGTTTGGGAGTCTAGAAAAGGCATCCGTAACCTGCGTTCTCTGCATAGTCGACTATTGTAGGTAGAAGAGTTTTCAATGGCTTCCCTATATGCTGAGTCGTTGAAAAAACTAGAAACGAGAAATCTCTTATAACGTAAACATCCCTTCAAGAGTCGAATTAAATGAAAAGAAAAGTTACTTCTAATTCTCTTTCGTACTTTACCTTTCAATTTTACTCAAATTTGCTTCATTAACAACTTGTATTATTGAGTTACAACTCGGAGGCGCAGACACAGCCGTCATTTTGTGCCGCCTACTAGCATTCTGACTAGCATCGAACTGACAAACGCTATATATATCAATATATATAACTATACGTGAGCTTCTCTTGTGTAATTGTGTTGGTTAGCGATGCTAACAATGCGGGCTACGCGAACGCACCGTATTAACAATATGCTTGTATTGTCGGTTATATAACGTCATTAACGGGGTAACGATTTGAATTTACATCAAATTCATTTCATTCATAAATTTGTCAAATATATAATTAATGAGACTGTAAATTATATAAATGATTCCTTACTCGATATTAAATTGTTGCTGCGTAACTAGAAAGATTTATATAAATTTTCAGACTGCCAGGCGATATTACATGGACAGTGGATATCCGACATCATGAAAAGAAACAGAAAACTGTCAAACAGCTATGAGCCGTTAAGCTGTGTGAAATAGCCCTTATATCTAGAAAAAGCGGGAATCGGAAAGCTAGAACTGTCAGAAAATATTTCGTATGGTTTTGCAGCTGGTTATTGAACAAATTAAACGAATCTTCAAAAGTCAAGAAAAAAATTAATTGATATCATCATCATGCATTTGTGTATTAAAAAGAAAGATACAATGGTTAATTCAAGTCCTGAATTACACTTGATGCCTTGTAAAATTCATAGTAATGATTCTGCCAATGTCAACACATATTTCAAGCCACATATCAAAAGTATTGATGATAAATGTAAGTTTTCAAAAATATTTTATATATTATTTCTATTAGGAAATGTAAAAATTGGAACACCCAAACAAATTCTGTAAATTACAATAGAAATCAATGAGTACAATTTGTATGTCAAATGTATTTCTTAGCAGATTTATAATAAATTTACTGTAATTTTAGATTTACAATCAACTTTCAGAGGTTATCCTCTTTATGGAACAAAGATTGAGGTACCAAAACAATATACAGGAGTAACATTTTACGGACATAATAAGCCAGAGATAGACAAAATGGAGCAGAATATGTACGCAACTGCAACCTTTACAAAGTTTACTTATTGGAACTATGATAAGATGCCTACAAAAAATGATACTCTTATATCAGCATTAGATTGGATTGACATAGCAGAAGCTGTAAGTTTTTTATATTAGCAATAAATTTAATTAATATAGCCAGTATCATTTATTGAAGTATATATTATTGTAGCTACATTCAACAGAAGAAAAAATTGTAGCATAAACCAATGTTTAAACATCACTTTGATAAACAGATATACTGTATATAATTTTATATTGCAGAATAAAACAATTTATATTATATTTAATAATCTAGTTTCAATAAAAGTTTAAATTTATATAAAAATCGTCACCTTTAGTCTTTTGAATAATTTTGATAAATTGTGTATTATAATTTTAATTTACATTTAATAAGTTGTAATGAGAAAACTATTTCTGATTAATGAAATAGGAATTTAAATTTAATTGCAAAATTCACAGAGTATTGTTTTTTGCAAAGTTAGAAATTTTTTATGATTCTGTATAAAATATGTAAATGTACTACATATTTACAAGTAGTAAGAACGCAAATGACTACAGTAATACCAGCACAGACAAAAAAAATTGGAAATAAATATAATTTTCAAAGTAGTACATACGTATACTAGTTATACATACATCAACATTTTCTCTCTAGTGGTAAAAAATTTATTACAAAGTTTCTTGGCAAACTAAAACAATTAATACTTTAATGCTATAGTTAAGGGATAAAAATTCTATTTTTAATTAAAATATAAAAACGAATGTATTATAGAAATATTGATGCAATAATCAATATTTCTGAGGTATTTTAAGTAAAATCAAATGCATTTCTTTGGAATGCGCATAATCTTGTTTGTCACTCAAGTCAAATAAGTGAACAGCTATTATTGTTAGTAATTTTATCTATTGTATTCAGTTATACGCTTATTTAGATAATAAGTCTTCATTTTTTCGTAGTCTTGTGAATTATCAATAGTGTATTGAAAAAAATTGTAATGTTTATCTATTCAAAAAATGAAAAGAAAGACAGCTTTTCATGATTCTACTTGCATTTCATTGGTTATAAAAAGACCCTAGCTATCATTTTCAAACCCACTAATTTCATGCTTTTATTACATGAAATCGGAAATATATTCAGTATTCTGAATTTTCACTAAAAAATTTGTTTTAGTGAAAAGTAGAAAATTAAGCTATAAATTTACGTCTATTATCATTTAATTTGTTTTTTCATTATTTAAAATTACTTATTAAAAAATGACTAGTTATAAAAAGTTTAAAGTGCATTCATTAAATAATTTCAGAAACAGATTATGTATTCTATCAATAATACGAATATAAAAAACGCTATTTATGTAAATTCGCTGTGATCTTGATGATACTTATTTTGTTCTTGTTGCTGCTTGATAAAAGCACTCAGTCTGTTTAACAAAAATTGCTTATCATGTCCTTCTAACACCAGCTGATTTTTCAAAACAGTAACCATGTTTTTGTTGGCCATTGATACGGCATAATAATAATACAATAATAAAACAAGTAGAAGGAACGCGGGAATTCCGAAGCTGGTTGTACACATAAACGATAAACAAAGTCGAATCCACAGAGGTAATTGTAAAAATGTCTCTGAAACGAAATTCCATCCAGAGTCAAGGCCTTTGAATGGTCCACAAGCTTTGGAAGGTCTTATTTTGACAAATGAATAGCCTAGTGAAATCAAAACCATCAAAAATGAAATTAAAAGTATCAGCATGAATAATGACTGAGATCTAGTTGCTCTATAAATTTGACTTGGAGGTTTACTATTTACCAAACAAGCAAATTTTTTCACATAGAACAGGAGAAAAGATCCTATTACAGCAAACAGTGGCAAAGCAGGAGCAAAAAATGCACCAAACCAACAAACGGTTTGCATGTAAACAACATCCAAAACATGCTTTGACAAATCAAATTCTTGTTGACCTATAAATTCTAAAAATTTGTTTTCTGAACGTTTTCCAATAAACGATCTCGGAAAATTGATAAAAAATGTCATAAAAACTTGTCCTACAAAATCTGTAATGTAAAGTTTTAAAAATTGTTGTCCTACAAATGTTTCCCAACACAGCGGACGCATTGACGTTGTGCATTCAAGATTATTGTTACTATTAACTATTTTTATATAAAAACTGCTAAGTAACACACTTAAAGATGCGAATCGTAAAAATACGGTACGAAACAGAGTAAGTTTAACGACAAATGGTGGACTATAGTTCTCAAGACTAACTAGATGTCGAAACAGAACAGGAATGCCAATGTTAAGTAACACTATACAGACATAAGGCAGAAACTCAAAAAACATTTGGTTGAACGAAACGAAATTAAATGCGTCAAAATTACGTTCTTTAGCCACTTCTGAGTCATTATGAATTTGATCAAAGGAAAACTTAATAACGTAATATATGAAAATTCCACTGGAGCAGAGAATCAATAGAACAAGAACATTGACAAATAAGCGAATCATGCATAATTTTAATTTTTCTTCTCGGGTGCGATTTTGTCGTTCTTCTTCAAATCTTTCAGATTCCAACAATATCTGAATAAAAAAACATTGATAAAGTAAAGTTATTATAAATAAAATGTTTTAATAAAAAAATTAACTTTACCTTAATTTCGTTATACAGAGCTTTATGCTTAGTTTCGGAAGATTTTTCATTATCAATACAGTAATCCCATCCTCCAAACACTAAATTACAGTATTGATAAAATTGGCCTTCGTTTTCAATAACTCTTTCACGAAACCCTTTTGCTGCTGACTTTATAATAGCTAACAGGCTCAACATGAAAACAACTATCATTACAGCAGCGTATGCTAATGGCAAATTATAATAAAACGTTTTTTCCTTATTATAGTAGGTAGAAGAAGAATATGCACCATAAAATAATAAACTGTATTTAAATAAATTATTGCTTTGGAATAAATCTTCAATAGTGTTGAATTCTCGTGAACGATTCCAATATAATTCTGGGCAGCAACTTGTATCTGAATCATTGAATGGATTGCATATTTCTTTCTGAGGTGCTTCCAACATTATTGTTGGAAGAACAAGGAAACCCATAATGATGGCAAACAGAATAAGGTTTATAAATAAGATCCACTTGATGAATAAAAAATAAGCAACTATGCCCATGCCAAAATTACCACCAATTTTCTTAATACTAGTACTCCAAAGTTCCATCTTTGAATAAGTTTCTTTTGCCTTAATTCGAAAAGTTTGCCAAGCTTTCCTACGTTGCCATTTCAACTGGTCAAAGCCTTGGAGTCGAAGTTTTGTTGCATTCTAAATAATATTCAAATTAGTGAGCTAATTTTTTACTATGTTAAAAAATGTTACAAAGTATTTATTGAATAAAATTTTATTATTATTGAATAAAATTTAATGCACCTGTAATTGTCTTTTCAATTGTATTTTTTGAGCCATACATATGGGCATAGCTTTAATCTGCATGATTTCTTCCCATGTGCGTTCTTCATTGGACAGATTTTCAGATAAATCAGGTAACATAGAAACTGTTGATTCCTGAATATTTGTAGACATTCGCCTAGCTGTATTGGTTGTACCTCTTGTGCGAGTACTTGTGCGCCTCCTCATTGTAGACCGAGGTTCATGTCTGACACGCTTTGTTGTAGTAGCTAATTATTAGAAAATGAAAGAAACCTTGTCATTTGAAGTTTCTAAGTAAATAAATTTTTAATTTACATGAAAAAATTGAAATTTATAAAAATAAGACCCAACATTTGCATATAAAAATATCCAGTTACATATTCAAGTTTATTAAAGATTGATTATGATTTGTAATACATACCAACGCGTGACTTTTTACTGGGTAACAGAGTAGCTATATGTGATGGATCCCTTTGCAATACTTGCTGCAAATCTGCTTCAATGGCAGCTGAATAACTCTCTTGGTAGAACTCAGCACCAGCATCATCCCAACCCTGAGCACGATCTCCTGCTCGCTTTTTTTTATCTCCCCCTGACATTATGTTTATTTAATGTTTCTACAGCTTGAATATTTTCAAAAAAATATTTCACTTTGCTTTATTAGAATCTATCCTTTTCAACCAAGATCCATAGTAGCAAAATAGTTGAAACTAGATCACCAGATTTCTTATAGTGTATGCTATAAAAAGTATGCACATATTAATTGTTATTTTTGTGACATAAAAATCGCGATAACCTGTATGTCTAAAGTTTCAAAACAATCGAGTATTGTAATATTAACAATTGAAACTTGGCGTTATTCTTCCTATTGATAAAGATAATGTTAACACCTTTAAGTTGCTACACAGTGCAGAAGATGATATTTAGATACTGATCAAGCTTTGGATAAAGCTTTAAATTGTTCAAAAAATAATTGAATGTCAAATTCTCATATAATAGCACATTGATCGTTAAATAATTCACACTTCTAAATCTATGTACGTGAATAATAAAAAATGAATTTTTTCAACTGCTCACGTTGTCAGTTGCCAAGCAAATATATTGTAAGCATTTGCTTTTCCAATAGTTTCACATTTTGCAACATCTCCGGATTCTCTGAAGCTGGTCAAAACTAAAGTATTACATATATGTATGTATAGTAGTATGATGATAGATATTAATCATAGAATGAGTATGTGCTGGCAGCTGATAGTCTGGTAGTGACACCGGTGACAACGCATCAAACTAAACTGACTAGATAAGGTTTGTCGACGACTGATTACTAGTATTTGTTATTATCATTCTATAGTGATATTAAGTTATCAGTCAATAAATAGCAGAGATTATAAAAGTAGATTGTGATATACTACAATTTCCTAAGTACACAAAGTGATCAAACATTATTAACTCGTATCGGAAAGTAAGGACACATGACAAAGAGACAAAAGATGGAGCAATAAAGGTAAGAAAAAAGCATTCTGTATGGAATGAGTCTTATATGTCTCATGCGCAATGATTCGATGTCAGATTTCATTGATCAATTCAAGCTCCTCAAGACAAGACAAGGGCAAGGATAGGCGCATTGGTGTATAGTATCTTCAAGTTTCATATAATCTATGGTTATTTTATCTGCTGAGTCGACTGCTTGAGACCTCTGCTTGACAACTACATAATACATACATACTTTATCTAATTCGATATCTTTCGTAAAGTATATGCTGTCATAATTTTACTGGGTGTTCATATCACAGGGTCACCTCCAAATATGGTAGTTGTTAAATTACATATTTAAATTGTCAACAAACGATTAACTTTATCATCTGGTAAACATTATTTTGATCAAATTATCTAAAAATGTACTTTTGATTAGTGATTGACTTTGATTTTATATTTAATTTTAGAAAATTATATCACCTGTTTTGATTGACAATGGCATGGCTTGGATCCATTGCATCTACTGTGTTCCGAAATATTGTTTTTACAGAAATACCTGCAAGTCAAGTACAAGAAGTTAGAACAAATGAGTATCATAAGCGTCATATCTACTGTCGTGAAGATGGCATGGTATTATATACTCCTGGTAATTTAGAAAATCAAAAATATGAAATAGTACTCCACAGACCATGTACTGAAACTTTACTTTATGGCTATAGGTGCAACTTTATCAATTAACTTGATTACATTATTAGGTAATTTAAACTCATCCAGCACTAATCATATCTAATGCTTCACTTGCAGTTTATATCGTTCCGAAAATCTTGAAGAAGTGCAATCTCGGTTTCTTATTTACAAGGATAAAATTCCAACTTTGGTAGATATTTGTAGAGAGGTAAGTGTTTGAAAATCTATATTAAACTACAAATAAAAAAAAGTTAATTTGCAATGATCACAATTTTTTGAACAGGTAATGCAAGTTAGCAAACTACAGAAATTATGTGATGTCTTATATGAGCACCCCACATGGAATTTAGCACATATTTCAGCTCACTTGTTATTATATGATGCTTTCAATCATGATGTAGTCAACAGTTTGTTAAATAGCAGTGATTCAGACACAGGAGCTTCTCCTCTTCAAGTTGCTATCCAAACAAGCAATTTGAAAATTGTACAAATGTTAATTTCAGCAAAAAGTTCATTAGAACATTTAGATTACAAGGCTAATACTGTGTTTCATTATGCAGCAAATACAACAAAAGAAATTATCATGTCTCTTGGTTCAGATCTTCCAAGTACTTTGAATAGTCGTAATAGCGATGGTTACACACCGATGCATATTGCTTGTCTCAATGATAAACCAGAATGTGTAAAGGCACTTTTGCTTATGGGAGCAGATGTGAATATCTCTGCATCAGAACGTTCAGGTATTTATATTGATTTTAGATGATGATTTTTTAATTTCAATTGTCATTTATGTGAAAAATTATAATAAAAAAATCTTCACTTTTCTAATGTGCTTTCTTTAAAGGTGATATAAAAATGTAATTCATTGATTTTATATTTAGCCAGATAGTCAAACAAAAAAGTAAATAAAAAAATGCTTATAAATTAGATACACAACTATTTACTACATTACGAACGAATGAAAAATATTGCAAATCAAAATATATAGCAATATTAGGAATATTGTCATGAACATGCATAAAATATCCTATACATTTCTATAGGCTATTTCTTGTAAAAAGCGCAAAAATCATAATTTATATACAATCATACTTCACGATTTACAAATACGCGTCATATTCTATTCACTTAATTTAAGTTTAATATTAATTTTTAGTCAAAAGGTTGAACATAAAGAATTTTTGAATTGGGTATCGTTTTAGCTACTTATAAATAGTGTTTAATCCTTTAATAAAAGTTTTAGCTTTCTTTGTTAATTTGTCGAAATTTGTATTTATTAAATTTAAGAAACGAGTAGTATCTAAGATATTACTATTGTTTGGAAATGAAAAATGCAAAAATTTTCAATCGTTTCATTGTAAAATCGTAAATTACAATATGTCGATGAACAATTTTTAGGCGGTATAACAACGCCAGGCTACATTGGAGATTTTCTTCATAACCAGCCAAACAGTCTTAAGCCAGACGATATGAAATTCGGCGGAACACCTTTACATTGGTCATGTAGTAAAGAAGTTATTAATGCTTTAATAGAAAAAAATTGCGATATCGATGCACTGAACTTCGATGGTCGCACAGCTCTTCACGTAATGGTTGCTCGTAAAAGATTGGAGTGTGTAGCAGCTTTATTAAGTCACATGGCAAATATAAATATAGTAGATCGAGAAGGAAACAGCGTATTACATGTAGCAGTTTTAAAGGTAATTAATTATAATTGCAAGAACAACATTAATTAGCAACGTTAATTTCTGAAGTATTTTTATCCCTCGTTAGTCCACGCCAACTATTGTACAATTACTCATAGCATTTGGCGTAGATGTAAATGCGAAAAATTGGAGAAATCAAACAGCTCGACACTTAGTTGATATAGAGAATCCTGATGGACAAAAAATACTATATATACTGCATGCTGTGGGCGCAGAGCGCTGTCCACCTATTACAATGAGCTGTCATATTGGATGCAAGCATAATGAAGAATTCGACGGAATTCCACCACCAAAACCGCCAACGGTCGTACCAAGAACGGTACTAGACCAGATGCTCTATGTTTCAAGTATGGAAAAAATGGCATCAAAAAAGCGCCAACTAAAGAAAGGTGGAAGGTTACTTTGCTTAGACGGTGGTGGAATACGAGGCTTAGTATTAATCCAGACTCTGCTAGAAATTGAAAATACTCTTGGCAAACCCATTGGTTCTTGCTTTGATTGGATTGCTGGCACATCAACAGGTATTGCCTGTCAAAATTAAGCTGATTTTAGACAGTCAGTTCGTACTTTCATAATGTTTAATTCAATTTTATCTGATCAATGACTATGCGCATCGACACACGATCTTGGGAAGTGGGGCCATTGGCACATTCAACTATACTTTATCCCGGGCTATTGTATTGACTGCAAGAAAATACATACTATTTTCATACTATATACTATTTGAATGATTCCGCAAAAGATATTCCGCTATTGATAGTAACGCAATAATTCGTTGGATTGTGAATTCTAATTGACCTACACTTACTTTATAAGCGTGCTTTTTCAATTCCATTATTAGTTGTTCCATAGCTCAAATCATCTTCATTTCAAATTTTACGATACAACAAATTATATCATTTGTGCTATTAATTATTTGTCATTAACAGGTGGAATTTTAGCACTGGGCATAGCAGCTGGGAAAAGTTTAAAAGAATGCCAGGCTTTGTATTTTCGCATTAAAAACGATGCGTTCGTTGGGAAACGACCTTACGCAAGCGAACCATTAGAAAATGCTTTAAAACAGACTCTGGGAGAGGAAAACGTCATGGCAGATATTAGTCATCCAAAGTTAATGATTACAGGTGTGCTTGCCGACCGTAAACCGGTGGATCTACATTTTTTCCGCAATTTTGAGTCGCCCAGTGAAATTCTGAACATTAAGCCAAGCGATACAGTCAAAGAAACTTTACCACCAGAGGCACAGCTTCTTTGGAAAGCTGCAAGAGCCACTGGTGCTGCTCCGTCTTACTTTCGAGCTTTCGGAAGATTTTTAGATGGAGGCCTTATTGCTAATAACCCTACATTAGATGCTATGACAGAAATACACGAATACAATTTGGCGCTTGAAGCTGCCGCTCGAACTAGCGAAGTTGTTCCTTTGCAGCTTGTTGTTTCATTGGGAACTGGAATGATTCCTATGTCGCCATTGCAAAACGTTGACGTTTACAGGCCAGAAGGACTGTTTGATACAGCAAAACTAGGTGAGAGTAATGTCTAAGATCAATTTCATTATAATGAGTTAATTGCATTTGTTATTGCGGCCAACTTAACTTCAACGATAAAAGTCGGTCGAAAATTTTTAGATTTTTAAATTAAAAAAATTTTGAAATATAAAAATAATATTAATTATATTATATTAAAAAATTTCTTTTGTCTTGTGAATTAATAGCTATGGGAATAACGACGCTAGTTACTTTATTAGTGGACCAAGCCACTCTCACGGATGGGCGTGTAGTTGATCGTGCGCGCACTTGGTGCTCGATGATTGGTGTGCCATACTACAGATTTAATCCACAATTGTCTGCCGAGATTGCCATGGACGAGAAAAGCGATGCAGTGCTTGCCGAAATGATATGGACAGCTAAGGCTTTTATGCACGCTAACAGAGATCAGATCAAAGAACTCGCTGCTGTACTCGATTCAATTTCTAATTGAAGTTATTATTATTTTTATTACGAGTATTACATGTTATAAGAATCGCTTTTGTTGGGATTTTGCTGTTGCGATCATACGGTAAATTGATATGACATTTCGCTCGCAAGTGTTATATGTGATAAATGTTAAAAGTAAAAAATGACGTGCTGTAAATTTTATGATGGAAAAAATAAAAAAAAATCGATATTTGGTGCTATTCACTTTACAAGTAAAATAAAATATTAATTTGTCGTTCTAGATTCAAATTTATCATAGGAATAATTTTTTTGACAGCGTATTTTTAGTTTCACATAAATTATATTAGTCTCAAACACAGCATTTCCTGTATGTACAATGTAATATAAAAATAATTATTTTTTACTGAATGCTTGTAAAATATATCGAAAAAAGTTTAAGTAGTATTTTGCTTTGAATGGCCGAATCGGTCGCTAAGCATAACCCTGCCATGTCTCGTTTTGTGTACAGTTTTGAGAATAATACAAAAAACAATGGTTAAAATTACGAGGTGAGAGAATTCGAAAGATAACCATATAATTTAATCGTCAAATGACATGAAATATAAAATTTACTTGAGATTTTTGAGAATCCAAATAAAAGCTTGATAGGTAAATATTATACTTCAATTTCGAAAGCTGTAGTTATTAACAAAAATATTTATATGTTCAATCTGATATTTCCGATTACAATCAAACTGATTAACTAAAGAATCAAGTATCGAAAATAAGCTTTATTGAATATAACCCTTTTATTTATTTAAAATATTTTACAACTCAAGTAAAGTAGTGGAGTTTTGCAAGCATTCTTGACAATACTACATCGATAACAATACTATTTATAAAAATAATTATTCTCTGCCATATAAAAGTCTGTATAATATTATACTATACTATATAATATTATACTTAGATTATTAGTCTCATACTCAAAATATTAATTCTAAGAGACTGCCTTGCAAACAATATTTTAAGTACGTTATAATTGTTTAAAATATTTTATCAAAAAATAATAAGTGGTAAAAGTGCAAAAGGATAATTTATAAATGGAGTTATGTCAAAATAAAAATTCTATTTAAAAATTGTTAATGCGCAATGCGAGTACGTTGGCTTTTTTCAAATTGATAGACACTTCTTTAAATCTGTATTGTGTACTATCCCTTTATTATCGCCAGGCGCCTTCAATAACTTCAGAACTCTTGTGGTAATTTTTTTAGTTTGCACTATAGATTATTACTGCGTGTTCCAATAAAAATCACAAAAATTTATTTCCATGAAAATTGTATTGACAGCAAATTTGTTTTCTTCGTGTATCTTGCATGAAAATAATCAAATAAAGATTTGTAGAAACCTCAAAGTATCTAAATTAGTTACTGCAGACGATACTTTCAAAGACGCTGTCCTTTTTTTCCTTCTCTATACTCATTTGTTTTGCGGGCATGGTCCAAGGAGCCAGTCGGTTCGTTTCACAAGTTTTTTGTATACACAGTACACGGAATTGACGCGCTGTAAGCCACAAATAACTAACACTGGTAGGCACGCTGACTGGATACTTTTTCGGAAGTTGGGATCGATATACTCTAGTTTCTTGTTTATTTCGTTTACTCGATAACAATTGGACGATTGGATTAAAAACCGATATTAATTCAAACTATCGAATAGGAAGTTAATTAGAAAATAAGGAAGCGGAGTATGCAATAATGTTATTGAAATATTTCGAAATAACTGAAATGACTGTTAGGAGTACGCGATGACATTAGAGATGATCGTATTTTGTTTTGATCCGCCTAATTAATATGCAATCACATAGGAACTAGCCGCGTCTCAATCTACCGCGATAACCGCGACACACTCAAGATAGAGACAGAAGTGTCATTACGAGGCTCGTTTCTTTGCCTTTCCAGTTAATCTCGCGATTGCGCGTTTTAGCCGTTTATATAGTTCGGATGACAATTTCTAAAATTAACCGCATTCTCGCGCGGCGATTCGTATATAATGCTCGGAGCGTCAACGCGGACCACTATCAGATTTATGATTCGAGGGGAGAATTATTGTACGATACGAGCTTTTAATCGAGCTCTTTGTGCACCGATCATTTAGCTCCTGATAAAATCCTTATCGGGGCATTTCAATGGACAATTTTAGTGCGAGTACGACGCGGCGCGAGAGCGCTTTACCGAGAATCGTCGCGCTGGCTGCGGACCGCGGCGAGAAATGGAATTTTTAATAATCGAGCGCCGCGATGATTTCCACAAAATGATTTCCGATCTCTCTCTCTCTCTCTCTCTCTCTCTCTCTCTCCCGTCGTTTTTTCTTTCTTCTCCTTGCAGGCGCGCGCTCTGCGTGTAAGCACATTTGCAAGGCACATTTTTGATACGACGGCTAGATAGGCGCTCGCCCATCCTCTCGCACACGCACGTGCGGCTTACAGCTGCTTGCTCGCCCATCGAAGATGACTCGGGATGCGCGCCCGAGTCGGATGAAAATAAATATGCGTTGGTGCGTCTCGAAAAGATAAAGATAGTTCTACGGAAAGACGAAGAGAAAGACAGAGCAAAAGAGAGAGAGAGAGAGAGAGAACCGGCGATGCGCAGGCGAAAGGCGGTGCTATGGACCACCTCTCCTCTGAAATTGCGGAAAGAGCCTCGAGTGCGTATACAACTATGTGGCTTTCCATCGGCCTGCCCACTTGTCTGCACGTTTCTCGCTTTCTCGCTTTGGCTCAGATGCCAATTGACGAAAGACTCGGACTTTTCTCGCTCCTTTTATTGTTTACTTGCGCACTCGCAAATTCGCGAAATTCGTCGTACTTAATCTCCCGCTAAAAATAACTTCACGGGGACTAGCTAAAGCCTTTCATGTCAAACATAAACGTAAACAGGTCCAAACAAGGACTCTTCCGGCAATTTTACAACTCTTAATGATTTTCGTGTCCTAACTGGCTGTGAATCAACAATCAAGTAGTCAAAATAATGTACAACTGTGTGTAATCTGTTCCAGAGGGGTTGAAACAAGCTACAGAGCATCCTTTATAAAAATGCAGATCGATTATCGCCTGTCACGTTTCGCCGTATTGTTTCCTACCTTAAACGAGCATGGAACAAGAGTAATGACAAAATTCGAATCTTAACCGTTAAAATACTTATTAAGTTGCCAACAGACAGTTAATTTTCTTAAGTTAATCTTCATACTGGCTTAGAGTAGTATGTATGTCAGAATGGAAATTTATGTGAAATTTCATCAAATTTATTGGTCTTTGTAGTAGTATACGAAACACTTAAAAGCTATTATAAAAATATTTTAAATGGCGTACAAAGAGACAGAGGAAGCGGATAAAATGGGGCACTTACAGTTTTTAAGTTTAATCTGTCATTAGTGGATCAGACTGTCAGTATGTAACACGTACGCACAATTGACGGCATAAAATAAAAAAATCATCTCCACAAATCACAAGCAGTCTTGTGTTTATACACATATTTTGATTCTTCATCCGCGGACTATATATTAAAGAAGTCTCGAATGAAGTTTCAGGTGTAGCCGTGTCTTAGATTTAGATTTGTTATCTGACAAATTGTGAAAGATTATTTTATGCCCTGTACAAAGATTCAGTAGCGCCTCGACTATACTTTAATTTCCATCTTCCAAATATTCGTTATATTGTACTTTTTACTTAATTTATTAATCAAAGAAAGAAGACTTAGCAATATAACCCTTGGCATAAAGATATTTGATACAGATAAACAGTTTCAGTACTCACGAATGTGTTTTCTAATAAAAAGCTTGAAAAGGTCGGTGAGTCTTGGTTGAAGAAATTTCATTGTTTTCTGGAAAAACGTTGTCCATTGTTGAACCGTTTAATAATTTACTTGTTATTCCATTTCTTATATTAAATTATTAATCAGCACGAATATACGAATGCAAAACTTGCTTTTATTCGACCAGATTTTTTCAAAACACTCTTTTCATCTTCATTGCAAAGAGAACATTTTTAAGATTGAAGATACGCATAATGTCGTCTAGCAAGATAAGGGTCGAGATATGGCCTTGATTCGGAGATAACGATTAAATTTTACGAAGCTGTAGCAGATTATAAATTGTTGATGCCATTGAATTGGGAGCCTAGTCCGAAAAACAAGAAACAGAAAATAAAATAAGCAACGAAGCGCATGAAATATAGGTGGAATAGCTTTTGCGTGCAGACGCGATAAACTTGCGGCAGTGAAAAACAATGGAGGGAGCTTCATTGGCGGCCGGGCGAACGGAAGATTTTGTAGATACGAAAAGGCGCGGCGATAATGGGGCGCGCGTATATAGAAACGTCAAGTCAACAAACGACATGATACTTGCTCGGGCAAGGCGCATTTCGACTGGACAACAGGACAAACAGTGCGCGTAGAGCACGCGCGCGCCCGCAATGGTCGGGGCGAGCGCGCGACGCGGCGGCTCCGCCAATCCAGCGCTGGTCACGCTCCCAGCCACACAATGGGTCAGCGCGAGCGGCTGTGGGTGGAGCGTACGCGCGCCCGAGCGGCTCCCACTGCCGTGCCGTATCTCTGCCTCTCGCGCGCGCGCGCGACCCACGCTCGTCCTCAGCGGCGCGAGGCACGCGTCGCCGTCGCCGTTCCCGACCCGCCGCGATCCAGTGGGCAAGCACCCCCGACGGGCCTCGGCTCCTGGATCCCGACGAGCGCGAGGCGAAAGGAAGACGTCCGAGCGTTCCCCACGAGCTTGCGAGTGAATGGGAGCCGATCGCGCGCAGCCGTACGCACGCACACGCGCGCGCGCATTCGGAGTGCGCGCAACAAGTGGTGCGTCGCGGTTGCCCCGCCCTCCTGGTAATGGAGAGCGCGGAGCGAGCGAGCGAGCGAGCGAGAGAGAGAGAGAGCGGCCGCGCGCGATCGAGAGCCTTGAGAGCTTAGCGAGCGACGAGTCCGCAACCACCTCGCCTGACGTGCCGCGCGCGCGCGCCCACGCAGCCCTTTCCGCGGCCACGCTTGTCCGTTGCGTCGCCAGCGCGCGACATCATCGACTGCTCTCGAAGCCGACGTACGTGCGCCGCTGCCCGAGCCACGGCAAACATGTGACCTTTCTGTGAGTGCAAAGTGCTCGCGGCCTCTTGGTGTGTTCGACCCGGCCCGACAGCCCCAGCGGCGCGCGATGTGCTGCTGAGCGACCGACCGTGCGAGTAGCGTGCGCAGCAGCGGCCGGCCGACGCCCGCGGACATTCGTCGAAGATGAGCGAGAGGACGACGATGCAGTTGTCCTCGAGCTGCAGCGCGAACGCTGCCGGGGCTGCCCACGACAGCAACGACAGCGCGACGCAGAACGAAGGGATCAGCGAAGCCGTTGCCAAGGTTCTTCAAGGATACGACTGGACATTGGTGCCTGTTGCTAGCAAGTGAGTTACGGTCTTTGGCTGCTCGTCTTTCGCGAGGCATTTCGCGTGGCATTTTCTTCGGGGGTTGCTTTGCGTTTCTCCCTTTTTGGCGTTTTCCCTCGTTTGCGGTCGTTCGTTCAATGGAGTTGCCGACGAGGTCTCACGGGAAAACCGCACGTCGAAATAAATACCGGTTGACAGGAAATTTATGCACATCTGTTGAGAAAATAACAAGTATTTACAAAAAGAAAACATGAAAAAAAAAAAACAAAAAAAGTCCACGCGACAGGCTATACATCGAGGCGCATATATCCTACGCATGCGAGCGCTAACTTAATTATGACGCGCTCGTTTTTCCCATGGCCTGGGAAAACGCGCCTCTGCATTGGCTATATACGCATGCACAAGTATGCATCTTTGTCCATTCATTAGCGTAAATTAGCTAATTGATCCTTGATACCAGACCGGCCAGCACATTTTACTCGTTCTCTCAGCGAAAAATCTTTCGTCTAATGTACTTTAGCCTTTTAAGTATTCTTTTCCGTAGTTTTAGCAAGACTCGCTTGGGAGGCTATGCGTGTGACCGATTGATCCGCCGCTCAATGAGATTCGAAGAATAATGAATAATTATTATTTTTCATAATAAGTTCATCTTTTAGCCTTTGCAGAATATTTTTATAAAATATCACGTGCAAGAGAAATTATTATTCTTGTTAGCATGATGGAAGCAAGTTCGATTCGCTTTCTAGATTTAAAATAAATTGATTGTTTATTTTGATAATGTTTGCTAAAATATTCGCCATACATCGAAAATTTTACGTGTCGTTAAGAATATTTCGGCAAATCAACTATCGTGATCAGAAGCTTGATTATTTGCAGTCAGCTAATACTAATAATTTTTATTTTTATTTTATTTATGCTTGACACCTCTCATATTTTCGTTAACAATTGAGAAGGTTTTTACAACGAAACCGAAAACCCGTCGTATGAGATCTTCCTCTGACACTAGGAGCTTCTAATGAAAATGCAACATTTCAATTCGAGAACCACGCTATCAAAATGTTATTTATTGGCATCATTTGTTCTTGATATAGATTTGTCAACTTACGTACGAGTTATTCTTGGCATTTCACCTATTTTACGATGAAGATCGGTCGGAAGGTAATGTTAAGCTATATACAAAGCAAAGAATTGTTTCATGTTCACAAATGGCGATCGCGCAAAAAATTCTGCTAAAAAAGGTTTATTAACAAGTAAAAAATTAACATTTTCAGAAATTTGCAATAATGATGAAGTGAAATTAAGATGAAGTATCTGATTGTATTCGTTGTATAAGCTCCTTGTTTGTCTATTTGAAAATATAATACATATAAGCTGATTTTGATGCATTTTATTTTTTGTACTGAATGTGTGGTAGCAATAGTCTAAAGTGTTAGCATTACAGGACTTTGTCTCCGAGATGGAAGTAATGAAAGTATAATCTATACATAATTAGATAGACTTACTGAATTGCTAAGTTATTTTACATAAATTTGTGTGTAGACGGATGAAAAGCGTGATTTGAATTCTAAATTGGACCTCTGATCACATGTTTCTAAAAAAAATGCGCCTTGCGTGTAACTACGTTATTACGTATTTTTTTTATTTTTCCTGGATAAAGAGCAAAGAAAGATATTCCTTGTAAAATACGTCCCATTGGTTACTCTAGTTTTTAGATATTTCAATCGAGGACAGCAAGAATGCGTTGTCGTCTTTCAAAATTGAAAGCTATCTGAACGAGCATGCAGTGCGGAATTACGCGACGGCTAAAATGCGTCGGATTACTATTTCACGTTACACAGTCATAGATAATGCAAGGTTAAAGCTTAATAACATTGTTTCGGTAATGCCGATAGGTAGTTAAATGTACCTTTCATAAAATAAATGGATACGAGAATCAATTGGTTTTATTATTTGCATTCGATGGAAAACTGAAAAATATTCACATCTCTTGTAAGAACTTGAGATTTCAAGGCGCCCACGCGCTGTGTACATAAGATTAGATGAACAAATTTAACAAAGCCTATTGATTTGGGTTTATCGGGAAATTATCAATAACTCAATCCGTACACGTGATATCTATTGCTTGAAATAGAAACTTGCGGAGGGTACCTATTAGAGGGAAAGGGTAATATGAGCTGGATTAAAAAAAATTTCAGCTGAACAAATATTGATTTTCATTTTGCAGAGGTTCGACGGACAAACGAGCTGCACATGTCAAAAGGCCAATGAATGCGTTTATGGTTTGGGCACAGGCAGCCAGAAGAAAGCTCGCGGATCAATATCCTCAGCTTCACAATGCCGAGCTCTCGAAAACCCTCGGAAAACTCTGGAGGTAATCATTTTTCTTTATTTCCCGCTTAAGCCACTTACTCAGTATCAAGCGAATCATAACATTGGATACCGCGATCGTTATGGTAAAAGTGCAATTAATATCGATTTATTTGTTTGTGTAGCTTAAATCTTGGAAATGAAAATCGTTTATAAAAATAAAGAAAATCTCTATAGGCTCGCTACTGAAAAAAGGTTCACAGTTAGCGCAACAATTGATTCAGTAGTACAAATAAGCTAAATATACGATATCAGTAAATCATTTCTCTTATTAAGCTATTGGTCGATTACCTATGAATCCCGTTCATTGGTTGAACAAAATTTCTCGACGGTCGCCGTGGTGCTGCAACGTTTCTAGTAAATTGTAAAAGTCAGTGATAAAACAACAACAAAATTATTTCGTTGTATAATTGAAAAATCCCGAAGTGATTTTATTTTGAAAATTTATACGATGTCTTCGGTAAATTTGTCTTATATATACTTCATTTTTGGTAAGAAATAATTTTTTTTTCCATGAAAATCAACCAACGAACATCTGTTTTATGTGTGTACGTCGGCATGTAAATCCTTTAGGTGTCACGGCAGGCTTAAGAACTTCATGGTTCTACAAATCAATTTTAAATACTTTCGTACACATTTTGTCTGTCCTAAAATTATATTCAGTTGATTGAAATGATGGTATTCGTTGATAGCGAACGATGCAAAATTACGCAGTTATTTAAAATTTTCAAGTCGGCCCTGGATAATCCGAAAACTTCCAGCACAAAATCCGCTAGAAGTCTAATGCAAGCAATGATGTTTGATAACGCTGTTATAAAAAAGTAATCGCATTTCCAGCTGATGTGGTTATTTACTTGAGCTTTGCTAGTTAGATGATATCAGCTAAAGCATATAGAAATAGTCGATTAGCCGTATAGTTAGTCACAGCCCCTAGCTGGCATTGTGATAGTCGTGAATAGGTCAAAATAACGATATACTGATATGTACATAGAGTCGAATACGAGTGTACTGATATGCCGACGTACCTTAAAAGTAAGCTATTGCAGCTGTTCGCATTTTTTTTCCACGAAAGAGATATAATTTCACCAGAATTACAATACATCTTCATTATACTGAAAACTCGATCATTCAAAGACATTTTAAGGTGTAAGCCTTTTGTGAAGTCATTACTTCACATAAGTTTTAATAATTGAATATTTGAACAATGAATTTATACGAGAAAAAGTTTCTATAACTATGTTTGCTCATAAATTTTCAATAAAATACACGATTAAACTGTACAGCTATATCTGTTTAGCATCATTAGGAATCGTCGAGATGAGAAAGAGAGAAGGAATGAACTCAAAGAATTTGAAGCCAGGTAGAGTTGAGAACGTTAAAATAATAGTCATCATTCAATTTCTTTGTCGGCATGCTGCCACGGAGAAAATATAAGTCGCAGCGGGCGCATCGATTCTCGTGTCACTTGCGACTTAGCCGTACTAACAAATTGTTCGATTCCGTAATGAATCATCGTTTAAGTATAAGTTATAAAGAGAAAGTAGATACGCATTATATTGTTGTATAGACTACGCATTGCGCGCGCGCACGATTTAAAATCCGAATGTGTAATACTTTCGTAAGATATTGATTGATTGCTCAAAAATATACTCGAAGATTTTTTTCGTCAATCGGATACACGATTTAGCTAAAAAATGACACGTGTTACGATCTGCTAGGCTGCTTTCAGAGAACGAAAAAAAGCCATTTATCGAGGAGGCAGATCGATTGCGAGTGATTCACAAACGTACACATCCCGATTATAAATACCAACCTCGGCGCAAAAAACAGCAGCAGCAATCCGGCAACCAAAGTAATTACTGTCGGGAATCCTCGCGGTCTTCCACTTCACGACAGTTGCAACATCAGCAACAACAGCTGCAGCAGTCGGGAGTGAGTTGCGTTGGTTTCAAGCAAGAGGATCTTACGACCTGTGAGTCTGGCTCTCCTCAAACCACCAATTCCATCAGTTCTGCGTCTCCGCCGACGACGCCTCAAGCACTGTCACCACCTACGCCTCCTACGACTCCTCGTGTTCAAACCTATACCAGTCAGGTATGCCAATAGAATTGTACAATTATATCGGTATCCTATTTTCAACTTTATTCAATTGACAATTACAGCAGCAGATCAACGGTCTGCTCAACGCTCAGCAGGAACTCACCTCGTCTTACTTACACAGTTGCCCAGAAATCCTTCAACAGGCACAGCAGCAGCAACAGCAGCAGCAACAGCAGCAGCAGCAGCAGCAATCGCAGCAACAACAGCAATCCGAAACGGAGCTACGTAATTATTTTGATCTACCGGCACCTTTGCCCATCGAAGACGAGCACTTGGGAAACTTTCTCGGTGCCCACGAAGGCAACCTCGACAGCAATGAACTCGACCAATATTTGACGCAAGCCCAGCAGCAATCATTAGCGACCAATCATCATCACTACAATTCCACTTATCCGACTCACACTGCTGCTTCTTGGCCAAGGCAATTATTTATTCTTTATTTTCAATTTGCCAAGCTGTTTTCTCAATAATCAATGGCTTCTAATCGTTTTATATAATTCATAATTTAAATTTTGCTGACTTTAACAAATTGTCGATAATTGATCTATCTAAAATTGTACGTTTTCGCTTTTCATTTCATCTATTAGCACAATTTCCCGAGAAACTATTGAAAATTTTGTTGACCCGCAACAACTCTTAGCAATGAACTCGCAACATTTATTTTTAGGTACGATGAAACTTGCTGTAACGGGAGATCAGGCAAGCGACAGTATTCTACTTTAGGACAACAGCTGCAACCAAATTTCAATGGTGACACAAGTGATTGGGAAGACAAACAGCATCAGCAATTTCAGTCGCGCGAAAGTCAAGAAGAATTGACGAGATACCACGAATTACAACCGCTCACAACGCTTCCTCCCGTTCAATATTTCTCTCAGCATCATCATGATCCTCACGCGGTAACTCAGTTGAGTGCGAATCATCAGCACGTGCCAACAAGCTCTTACGTGCAATATCGGCATTTTTTTTCCAATATGAATGCATGGCCTAATTACTAGTTCTTTTGCTACCTTTTTCAGTTCGTATCGCTTATTTCAAAGAGAACGACTTTCAGTAGATTTTATAAGCTTTCAATCATGATTATAATAAGTAATATACGTAAATGTGCCTTTTTAGTTTATAATTGAAATATTAATTTAAAACATTGAAGAAATTGAGAGCAACAAAATATTAGGGAAGAGATGCGAAATCGAGTCAAAACTTTCATGACATCATTCCATGACAGCCAGTCGAGGACTCCTGGGCTAGGCCAAACAAATCTTCGCTCTCTCGAAAAAAGGTAAAAGTACTAGAGAGAAAATTAATAGAGATAAACGGTAGGATAGTTCTAAGTTCGTCTTAATAAATATTAAATCCAATTGACGTAATTTTTTATATAAATGAATTTCCTTTATAATATCCAATATACCCAGTGTACTTTTCATATTCTGCTTTGAAATAATTTTCATTGTTTATGAAATATCTATGCATAATTTTGAATTCAATCATTCATTTATGAAATTTTATAATATTCTTTTACCATGATCATCACTAATTTCGAGCTTATATATGCTGTAACACTCTCATTGAATAGATACCAACAGAATATGTTCTTACAGTGTTAAATTGTATTCCTTCAATTACTGCAATTTACATAATATAATTTTTTTATTAATTATTCTCATGGAAATTGTCTAATTTTTAATACAACTATTAAAGTCAGATATTCATAGACGCTTGTGTTATTTTGCGACAGTACATAACAAATATAAAGTCAAATAATTTGCTGATTAGTTTTAAAAAACATTTTAAAGCTTTCTCAAACGTTCCCTAGTTAGATATTTTTATTTGAATAAATATGTCATTCGATAACATTATTTTATCGAGGTATTAAAAATCTTGTCAATTACAATGTTTTATAAATTAAACTTACTTTTCCCAGTGTATTGATGAAATATGAAATGTAATTTATATAATCAAATTGTCACGTAAAACTATTTTTTGAATTGATTCATTAACTTTTGCTATTTTTACTATTTGCATGACGGTGATGTTATATATATATATATATATATATATATATATATATATATATATATATATATATATGTGCCCATATTTTGAGATGCACTTAATTATAATATCTCTGGAAGAAGTTGAAGAGCGGTTATGGATATAATCAGAAAATCTAAGCGACATAAGAAAGGTTGGATTTGAGAGTATCTGGCATTTGTCTACATGTGTTCCTTGGAATCGAATTTGAGTAGTACATTATAAAAACGCAGGCATGCAGAAGGGCAGTAATGTATGTACGCGGAATATGCATCCTCGCATGTCGGAGTATTCGTATTAGTCAGCATCTGCGGATATAATGAGTTTTAAAGGAAATTAGCTTGAACATAATTATTTGTTGCTAAAAAAGGAAAAACAATCAATTGATTATAATTATCAATTATATTACACTAACATATAAAAAAAATATTTTATTAAGGTGGTCATTTGAGCGATTTTCTAGATGATGTGATAAGTAATGCTCGGCACGAGCCCTTTTAAGAAACTTGATGGATTGAGTATGGCGAGAATAAAATAAATGACTGCGTGGCTCATTTTGAACGAATGATCAAGGGAAGCAGATTTGAAAATCGTCAGCAGATGTAGATGATCCCCGTTGCAATATACTCAGAAGCATTTGTTGTTTCAAAGTAGCCGCGACCGAATAAAATTTTTTTAGGAATACAATTTACATGATATTGATAATAGCTATTTTTCAATATGTATTCAATTAATAAATAATTTATTTATTTATATAGCTTCAATGACTTAATAAAATATTAAAATCTTCATTTTTTTCATGAAAAATTCACGTGTTTTTTAAGGGATTTGGTGAAGATATATTCACTTTATGAAGACTTATCTGCATGACTTTTTAATGAGATAACACAGGCACACAAAAAAACCGTCTGTTCTTTTCACTAGACCTGCGTATCTGCATGTGTGGGAGAGCAACGGACAAAGCCGGGAACTCGAGTAAAATCAGTATTTATGACGATCAGAGGTTCGCAAATAAAATTCTATTAACTAATTTTGTTTCTTTCCATAAAAGATATGGGAATTTAACATGACTTTGTCTGAAAAAATTGAGGATTAATTCGACTGGTCAATACATATCTAATAAATTATTTTGGCGGTTTAATTAATTACCGCTGTAAACGTCCATGCTAAAAAAGAAATACTTATTAATTTTGTGTCACTGAAAACTAACAGTAGGAGTATCTTTTTTTACAGTAGTTCGACTTTTTAATTTAAGCTTATTTTTTAAAAGTTGGATACAAGTTAAGTGTTAATATGATTGAATGGTAGCTATATGAACCTTTCCTTCTTATTTAATACGAAGAAAAACTTAACCCACCCGGATTAAAAATATGTAGAAAAAAAGTAAGTATTCTGTCAAAGTTAGTGAGGCTTAGCAGTCCTTTCAACTGCTCAACTTCAAGAGCCATCGCGCAAAGGGAGAGAGAAGAGAGAGTAAGAGAGCCTTTTAAAACTTTCCCACACTATATTCAGCGCGATACGATATAAAATTTTGATAACCCGTATAGTTAAGGATTTATTTGATATACGTAACCAACTATGTTTGCCAAAAAAATACACAGGACAAAAACCTTGAAAAAGCTATTAAAGCTTTTAAACGAAGAATTACGTGTAACTCTCTGCACCTCGCAAAAGTGTAAAATAATTTATTGTGAATTTAGCATGTTTGTTTCGTAGACAATGTATTTTATTATAAAAGTAAATCGAAAAACGCAACCCACCACTTGTTTTCATAAACTTTTAAATGGACTGAAATTTGTTTACCCCTCGGAAGGCTAGAATTCCATTGTATACAATCTAATCTTCATTTCTACCGAACTACATAAAAATTTTTATGTACGAAAATAATATTGTAGGTATTAATAAATATCAAAAGCACAAACGTTTAACAACATTTATTAATATTTTATTATTTTCTTTATAACTTTTACATTAATTATCATTTGGATGAATCGAATAGAATAAAGTAATTATGTTAGCCAACTATAGAATGTAGACTTTTCGGAGACAGTTTACTGTTGAATTTGAACAAAATCAGCTTTCACAATGATCTCAGAATCAAATACATCTGTCAAATCATTGTGAAAACCAGTTTCGTGATCTGTGCTATCCAAGCTGTTAGCCTTTGTTATATCCGAGTGACGCTGAACCTGCACCTATTTCAAGAAAATATTGGAATAATTGTTATTAAAACTAACCATTTTTTACATATAAAAAGTTATTAATAAATATTATATTTTTAAAAAATAGAGATTTTATAATTAATCAAATAAGCTAGATTAAAAATTTTTAAAAACAATATTCAATGTGAATTGAAAGGCAAAAAAAGGTGGGTGTGTGTGTATACGTGTATGAGTGTGTAAATATGCATGTATTTACATTAGTTTTTTTAATAAATATATATGATCACGACATAAACCTTGAAACCGGTATCACGGATATCTATATTACCGACAGATAGTGATCATACAGAAAGTTGTAGTCGGTATTGTATCGAATAAAAAAAATTACAGTTACATTACTGAAGAAACCTGTTTTATCAGCAGTAGTGCAGATCAACTGTAATATTCTGTATAAGACAACAGATTTATGTATGAATTCCTTGACTGAAGGAATAAAAATAGATATAAAATAATGCTCTGTTCTTTCTTCTGGTATTACTTGGGCGTTGATCTTCCGTAATACTATAAACTGGCTCAAATGATTGCAGTTGGGTGACCTGATGGAAAATATATTTAAATTATGAGAATGGCGAGGATGATAAAAAATTCATGTAATTATTAAACTGATTATTTACTTTACAGTCAAATTTAGTTTAGTAGCCAAAATAAAATGTGAACGGTTTCGCTATTTTTGCGCCAGTTTAAAGAATCATGCACAAAGAAAGTTAGTTCATACAAAGACACTAGACTACAAGGATCACGATCAAAACGAGTTTTTAGTCGGATACATTCCCTACCTTTACCTGTTTTCTAATAGATAATTAGATAGATTAAAGGGTGATGATAGAGTGCAAAAAAAATTTAAGTTAGAAAAATTATACGCATGAATTATACAATTTCTATAAAAGATTTTTCGTGAGCAATGGAAAATATTTTACGACCACGTGAATAGATTTAAAATCGAAAGTATGTTGGTCTTGATGCTATCTATACGAGATTGCATAAAGGAAAGTACGTTTGAGAATGATCAGCCATAACTTGTCAGTGAAGAAAAGTGTCGTTGAAAAATGCAATTATCACGTTTTCACTTTGGCATTTTGAGATTTGCATTTACATTTTTGTAACTTAGTAATGTTGTACTGCATTTCGCTTGTGAAAAAGCCAACAGCTCAAGCAGAAAGTGTTAGATTTGAAACATAAGGAAAAACTATTGCCAGCAAGGTTTATTAGTTTGCAATTGATTTCAGTATAAAGACATACCCAGAGTTCGTACAGAATAATAAGGCGAAAAAGTGTTATCCGAAGCGCTTACGTCATCGCTCAATGTAGTTTGAATAGTATCGAAATCCAAATTATGATTAGATAAATAATAAAGAAGACATAAACATGGAAATAAAAAATTGTAAATGAAAACATGCGCACAAACTACTCTCAGCTCGACTCTCGGAGTATCTACCGATAAGTTGCAATGCGTAATAAGTTTCGCATAATCGTACTCTGAGCGTCCAGTTCATTCATGCAGTTTGGAATTGTTCTTGCCAACGCAAATATAATTAATGTCGACGAGAAGCATTATGAACACTTTTTCCGGCTCCATTAGCAATGGTATTCCCCTACAATATTACGTGGACGAAAGATTGGCCGATTTGAAGATAAAATGTCACGTCGACTTTTGCATTAGTATCCGTGGCACTTTGCAGCTATCAGAAATATTTGGCGCGGTTATTTTATAAAGTACGATAGCTATACGTTACGCCAGGAAAACAGGCCCGCTGTGGCGAATATAGAACTTTATTGTACGCCATTCAACTCGGCTCCCTTTGTATTTCCGATTTATGTTATTCTTTCCTGCACTGATGTACGCATAGAAATACAATTTCATTGCTGTACAACTCGCCGCATGTGAATGTGTGTAAGCAGCTGCCTCATAGTCAATTCACGCACACGGAGAAATCGAGATTCTTGCATCTGCTCAGATTTGAACGTTACACGCGAATTCAACTCATTGCTCGGCGTGTCAAGGTGGAGCGAGCGAAGTGTGTGGCTCTGGCTAGCCTACAGTTAAAAAAAGCGTTCGGTGGAATTCTTATCAATCACGTATGGTTGCACTCGTAGTACGCATTAAAATCCGTGTAATTCATCGAATCCCCAGTGCCGTACCTAGAAGTACATTGATGCTCGCGAAGATACTCGCGCTCGCAAGATTTTCAAAGCTGTTTGCGTGCTGTTTTTTGCCCGTCGAGTGCACTCCTTTTTCTGTAAAAGTTTCGGCGACGCGACGCCAATCTTAAAAATACATCGATATATACCCGTCAACGCGAATAATTGCAGGTATAAAGCACTGAATACAATAAATGTTAAGTAGCAATGCAGCATACGTGGCGGATAAAGTCGTGGTAACTGAGAACAGTTGACCGCATTCCGTAATAGTTACATTGCATAATC